AGAAGGTTCTTCTCATATTTCAATTAAAAGTCTCCAACAAGAAAGCAATTCATTCCCGAGAAAGACGTTCATACCCCCTATATTCGCTTCGAATAAGCTGTTACACCCCTGCAACTGAGACTATTGGAACTGAATTTTCATCAAACCATACCGATATACTAACAACTTCTTAATCCAACATTTTGAAAATTTACTTCTAGTACCTTTATTTATAGCTTCGCTAAACATAAGGCCCTCAGATCAAAAGGTCTCAGCATCCCCGACGAAACTCGAGTTCTGCAAGCTGAATCAGATCTAGATACTGGTATGACTTGTTGGGATATGGGATTTGCAGGGCAGAAATAGGTTGCCGAAGATGAATTGTTGTTGGCGGATTTGTCTATTTGCTAAATGGACGGTAATAAAGGAGGAGAGGTAGAAGGGGCTTCTCGTCAAGTATTCAGATGTGGATAAGTAGTTTGAGGGGGACACAGGAAAAGGAGGTGCGGGGGAGGGCTGCAGAGGAGGTATGAGTTATTGTTGAGAGTTTGGATGGATTTAGTGTCTTATCTGTGGAAAAAGGGAATGATAGGATGAAGATGTTGTTTATATGATTGGAATTCAATCTGCGAATGATATTATCCTCATATGGTGATGAGATCGATGATCTTTATGGCATCGATACACGGATCTGTTGCGAGTGGTTATTCTGCTGATATGCCATATATCAGTTTCTTATCTTACAATGATCTCTCGAATCTGCTTCGATAACTTGGTTATTATAGCTTTTCTGGGGAGTGTTCTTTCCCGGATTCATAACCCTTCGAGTCTTTTAGTGGGAGGCAATAGTCAATTTTCCATCACATGGATAACTTGTACTTTTTTTTCTCAAAAAATCATATGGCGCATGCATTGCAGAAACTTGTAACTTTTTGAAACTTCATGTTAGTCTTCAAAATCAAGAAAACCGAATCCGTAAACTATTTGTTTCCCCTCGAGAAAGTAAACCATGATTTCTGGAAACTTTTCCACCCATAAATCCAAAGAGACGCTCTGTTCCACTTCCTAATGACCACACAGCTACACTCCAACCCTTAATACTTTCCCGAAATCTCCAAAACAATCTCCACCAACTCATCCGTCATCGTCAACGTAGGTGAATGTCCTGTCTCCAACTCCCAAACCTTCACCTCCTTTCCTTCCTTCTTAACTGCCTCTAGCATGCTCACCTGGAAATCTAAAAACACAGTCATATCCATCTTCGTAACCACATAACTCGTCTCGATATCTCTCCACACCGCCCTATCTTTTAGAGGCTGATACATCGCATTTCCATTCCATCGACTCAAATTCGAGATATATTCTTCGATCTCTGCTTCTGTGACTTTATCATCTGGGTTTGATCCGATGAGAAGAGTACGAGGATCACTATGCACGTGCGTTCCGTCTTCTGCGATGTTGAATACGATGGGGATGAGATCTTCGTGGCCGAATAAGCGAACTTTGTCCATCATAGACTCGCCTTCTAACATCATGAATGCGCTGATGTAGAGGAGATGGACAACGCCGCCAGATAGACCTTGGGCTTTTCGAGTGGAAACGGCAAATTCGGTAAGGGCGTTGGTGCCGACTTGGCCACCGTAGGAATGCATAAGTACAATAATGTGTTTTCCTTGAGAGACAAGATCGGAGATGTAGGAGCGGACGAAGTCGGTGTCGGTGTAGAGGTCGGCGGTGGGTAGTTGGGCGCCATTCATGCTGGGGAGGGAGGGGATGAGGAGGTCATAGGAGTGGGTTTGGAGTGCGGAAACGAATTTGTGGTAGTTTTGGGGGTTGTGCCAACTTCCTGAGAGGAGGACGAGGGTAGGTTTGGTTTCAGAGGTAGACATTCTGGTGTTGGATGTGTGTTGTGGTGTTCTGGAGTATGGAAATGATGAAGAGAGTAGAGACTGGGAATTGGTACTCGGAATATCAAGACTTGACAACTGTAGAACTTTCTTCCTTCCTGAGGATGTTAAGGAAATGTGAATACTAGAGATAGATAGCACTGGCGGGATTTTATTTTGATAAAGTTCTTGTGGAGGCAACGAAGCAGTAATGTTAGATCCAACATTTGGAGATATTAATATTAAAAAACTGTTGTAATCTTCCTACCTAGCCAAGAAGTAAGATCTTACATGTGATCATTTGTTTCTGGAGATATCCCGAGAGATATTCACGATTCACTGGAACCTCTATCTTGGGGAGAAGAAACTCGAGGTATTTACTCAGTGAATTTGGAAACTCGGTAGGAGATAGGATATCGAAGGGTTCTGATTATTGATTGCTTACTGTACCAATCCTTCCCGTGATTACATCTCAACCAATATGCATATAGATGCAAGCTCCATCCAGAGGAATATATCTGATTCTACCGATCTTTGTTCTTGTCGTTGATAAATCCCACAATGCACTATAAATCCAAACTCGGAAAAGTAAGCGGGCTCGGTGGGGTGAATGCTCCGCTGTACAGTACCTACTGCGATTAACCACTAGCGGAAACCCCTCAATAATTCAATCGCTCTCTGCCAGTTTGAATTCAATAATACTTTGAATACTGCTTTGATCAAAAGCAAGTTGAGGTTTTATTTTGTGCTATAGATTTAGCTGTTTAATTTATGGTCGATCCATTATGATATTTATTGAAGTGGTCAAATCCGATTGAGATACCCAGGCTCAAACTGAGTCTCTAGTACCTACTAATTGACACGATACTATTAAAACAGTATCATCCCAATAAAAGGGCAAAACTTACCGATTGGATGTAAAACTCTCCACTAGTTAAGATATTCGCGAAATATTCACAAGGCAGAATTGCTGTCAATCCGAGAGATACAGGATGTTCCTTCCATATGATACTGCGTAAATGTTCTAAGCCACTGGATCATTCGCTTCGCCACATTCTGAGAGGGATTCTGATGATTGGGGGGTATATATATGTATGTACCTGAAAATGATTTGAGTCCTGATTACATGTTTGATTATTGCTACGCTACGCGCTTTGAAATTTTCATTGGGACTTTTGATATTCAATAATCAATTATAGCGGCGTTTGGAGTTTCTATATTTTTACATCCTGTTCAACTGAGGCAGACACCAAAAGGAAAGGAGAAAAAATGACTTTTTCGATTTTCAAAAGGAGGGAAGGTCACGATCATGATCACCACCACGAAGAACTCGCAAAACCAAATCCAAGCACATCTCCACTCCCTCGTTACTCGACCAATAATTCGCTTTCTCAACCTCCTCCCCCCTATTCCCCCAATCCACACCCACCCATACCATCCGAATCCCATTCATCTCCTGCCCACCTCTCCGAATTAACCATCGACTACATCCCAGGAACACTCTTTAACGCATTCAAAACCACTCTCTTGATTTATGATTCTCCTCGCTATCCAAATACCAAACCATTGCCTATTTTCAAAATGACAATCGAAGGCATGAAGAGATTCACGAGCATGTATATATACAGCGGAAGTATCAAGAATGAGGACAGGAAAGATGAAGTGATGTTAGGAGGTGCACAGTTTGATAAATTTAATCGCAAGATAGAGGTGCAGCAAGTGGGGATAGAAGGGGTGCAGAGGGAGGCAGAAATCGGGGATGGAGTATTTTGGGAGTGGGAAGGGGAGGGAAAAGGAGGGGAGGTATGAGTGGAGATTTCCTGGAGATCATGATGGAGGGAAGGAAAATGGAAAGGAAGAGGACAAAGAGAGGGTTCTGGTTTGGCAACAAAAAATTCCATCCACAACGCAAAAACTCTCATTCTCGAATCCGAATGCGGAGTTGAGGGATAAGGAGTCGGGGGATCTGTATGCAGTGATGATTTATGATGTTTTTGCGGGGAAAGATATGATGGGAATACAGTACAGAGGGAGTATTAGTGGTGGGGAAGAAGAGAAACGGGGGTTCCAAATGGGAGTTCTGGTTACGGGGTGTGTAGTGGTGGAGAGGGAAAGACAAAGGATTGGGAGGAGGGGGACGATTGGGATGGGATTGGGGATTGGAATAGCTTCCGGGTGATGGGAAGAGGGTTGCAGAAGAAGTTTTGAGTGAGAATTTTTGGATACCGGGTCGTGTGTTGTTGAAGAAGCTTTAGATATGGTACATCTATCAATATAAGTAACGAGAGAAGGTTTTTGATAAAATTTTATATCAGGATATTGATCCAATGTCTAAGAATCTACTCCGTCAAGCGTTTGACGCCAAAACTGTAATATGATGATAGAATCATTCAGCGACGGGATATCATCTTTTGCTTCTCGCAATACGGCATTCTATTCACGCGAGTCGTGCCCTCAGCTTTTGAAACCATGTATTGTCGCTTATTAGATTCTCAAATAGACACGATTCATAAATATAAGACTCAAGATCAGAGAGATTTCATTCATTAAAAAGACTGGTCCAACTCAACATGTGATCTCGCTTCCATCAAAAACACCAACATTTTCAGTTTTTTATCGAATACATGAGCGTGACCATGGCTGGGAAGCTTGTAGAGGAAGAATTGTAGGGAATGAATGTACAGGAACGAAGATCATCTGGATAAATTTCCATCGAGAAAATGCAAAGTTGCCGCACCGTTATATCGATTGACCGAAAATTATATTCTTTTTCCCTTTCATACGATTCAAACTCTGAGTCTAACGATACCACGCACTATATCAATAGTTGAAACATCAATTTCTCTCTAACACAAATTGAAAATTATTTAGTCAGGTATTCAGACTGATATACAATATCGCCTGTTTTTAAGAGAATCTCTGAGAAGTTGAAGCTCGAAAAGACTACGATTAACATCAATGGTATATCTAGCTGTCTTGGCTATGTGTAGATTCCCTATCTAAACAGTCAGTTTCGCACCGATCCGAATGTGTACATCCAACGCTAATACATATGAAAAAGAACTACTCTGTAGGCTAGAGAAATGGACAAGCATCAACAGTACCACGTATCAATCCATCTCTCAATATGAACGTTCAAACCAGCACAAACTCTTTCTCCTCACCCATCCCCGTAGCTTCCCCATCCATCCACCCATCAACATAACAATCACCAACCAAAACATACTCATGTCCCGAGGCTTGATTCGAAGCCTTGCTCTGACACTCTGTTAATCTCCGCACAATATACGGCGTCTCCCCCCCATAAAACAAACAAACCTCATCACCCACCTCCATACCCTCCTGACCCATTCCCAAATATCCATTATCCGTCTCGAACATATGTCCACGGAAAGCAACCCCCGATGCAAACTTCCGCGTCTTTTCCACAATCTCTTCATCAAAACCTTCAATTACTCCTCCTGCCTTTTCTATCTCGCTTATCTCTTGCGCATTAGCTCCTATTATATTTTCCAAAACTTCGAGGAAAACGTCCAGGTGCTCCCAATATGGAGGTTCCACTGGCATTCCACGGATAGGAAGGGGCAGTTTATTATTGACAAGAGTGCGTGAGTATACTTGACGCCAAGGTATGCCACCTGGATAAGGCTCAAGTCTTGATGCGTAATTCATTGTCTCGATAATCCAATCTTGACGTTGTTTCAGCTCGACTTGGAACTCGCCAAAATTGTTCTTGTATACGGTTGTAGGTCTAGAGGGGTAGATGGCAGTAACACGAGACACTGATCGACCTTGAATTTTCATCAAGACTCTACCTGGATTTGTCGAGTTGATATTAATCAGAGATTTTTTGGCTTTGGAAGCCTCCGGCATTTTGTAGTCCTCCAAACTAGCAGGAATAGAAAGAAGATTAGAGTCTGGGAAATGCGAGAAGTCTGGAACCCAGCTAGGGAGATTATGATTGATGGAGATGTGCTTATCATTACGATATCTTCCGATCCCGGCTGCGTTGAGAAGCGATAAAGAAGTCCCTTGATTCGAGATCCGAGTTGTAGCATCGGTATATACCTCTTTGACTGTGGTATAATAGTCGACATCTATTCCCATAGCCTCAATATCTGTCGAAATACCAAACAACGCGTAGACTTTATCTCTTGGGTTTGTTGCCTTAAAGTCCAAGCCTTGAAACAAAGCGCATTCTAGAGTAACAGAACTACCCTTCTTTCTAAGGTTCTTTTATGTGGTAGATAAGTGCAGATGCACCCAAACCATCTGGAAATGTTCCATCTTGACGAAACAATAGCAGCTTCTCTAAGTCCATCCCTATTATCATATTCGCCACAAATCCAAGGGCGCTCCAATTCATTGCTTTCTGTCCACACAGCAGAACAACATGGGTCCCTAGCACAACTTCTTGAATGATCCACGTCCGCGAAACCATGGTCGTTGTAGGAGAGCATCAAGTGCTTTCCAGCCAGGAGATCTATGCTCACAGCCAGGTACCGAAATTGCATCTGAAAAAGAAGGAGTTCCAAAATATATCATCAAATCGTGTAATGTAACACAAAATCCATGGCGAGATCACTATCTGTAGATTCATCACCAATCCAAGCAAGTACCTGCAGCGCAGAAGAATAGATTCTCCCCATCTGACGCACTTGTGATCCTTTCTCGATATTATCATTTTGATTAATACAGAGAGCATCGATCCATAGGAAGCAGGGCTCAAATTAAAAATCTAAATGAGCAGCAAAAGATCTCAAAAATTTCCCAGCCGAACTATTCAAACCCAGGTAGTGTCCCTCGTCAAACCGTATCTGATCGCACATACCAGCTGATCCCCAATGATAGGAGATAGCAGCGTAAGGCACTCGTATTGGTGGTACACATCTAATGAGACGTGTGTGAATTTGCCATATAAGCTTTTCGAGTCCGGTGAAAGTGATATTTAAAGTAATCGGATGTCCGATGTTCTTTCCAAGGGGAGATACCAGAATAGAATACCTGAAGCCATCTTGAGTCGTGTAAGTACATCAGAATTGAAAACTTCGTAGAAGATATCTAAATGTAATATGTCTGCACACAGGAAACAAGAGAGCTCAATAGCCATAAATACACCTGAGCCGGGGCAAGAGATGTGTTGGAGATGGTATCACAACAATTCAGCTGATCCAATCCTGTACCCAAATCGTTCTTGTCCTTTCATCAACCACTTGTGCTTTGCAGCCTTTAATAAGACTAATGTGCGGGATTTTTTCCGGATTTCATTTTGTATTCCATAACTTTTTTCTTGCAAGACAAGGCATGCTCTTCTTCCTAGCATTATATAGGTTAATCACAAGATTTTTCTCAGCACGAAGTTTGAGACGCCTTCCCTTTACAACTTTACATCCAAGTCTGAGAACTCTAAAGCAATTTCGCCATTTTCTATCGTTCGAGAGAATTATCGACTAAGGTAAAAGGTCCTCTGGAAAGAATCCTGAAAGGCACCTCAGCTCTAACACTAGATTCCACCCATAATATCCACAAAATTAAAACCAACTGAGAAGATATCAAATTTTCGCCATTACACTCATTCCAGCTTCAGGGCTAAACACCATCCCCCAGTCTCTCTATCAAACCTCGCCATCATCGTCGCACAAGCATACCTTGATTCCTCAGAAACTCAACATGTCAATTTTCTCAGATTTACTAGTTCCTCACCTGAAACTCACTCGAGTCTTATAAAACACCAATCAGTAGGTATATATCGATTCTCAAGATAAAGATTAAAAGATCTAGTACCAACAAATTGTAATCAAAGTGCTAAGATTGAATCAACATGCAAAAGTATTTTTTTGATAATTATTAGATATGCTATTCTATCTACTACCACGACTCAGCTCTTCTGATCCCTCATAACACCCCTACAAAATCAAGCAGCGCCAATTTTCCTTACTCATCAATCGGCCCAAAAGAACTCTCACCCTCGAGCCAGAAACCCCTCTAGAAATCCAGTTCCTCCTCCGGCTGCCCCATCAAACTCCACTGCTCCACCGCATGAATCTCCGCCGGCCACCTATTAACCAACCTCCTCGCATTTTTCTCCTCCCTCGAAAGCCTATGTTCATAGATCCCCGTCACATCCTCGCGATCTAGATTCGTTCTCTTCTCAATACACTTCTTCGACCCCTTAAACTTCTTCATCCCCAACACCAGGATCTCCACCACAGGGGGTTCCCAAGCCTCATCATTCGCGGCGCGATACTCCTGGAGGGATTTCTCCAGCAGATCCTTCATTTCCGAAGGTTTGTGCCCCAGCAGCTGCGAAACCGGTACGTCCAGCGGTTCATGGTAGACGATGGATGTATTGGGGAGACCGAGCCATTGATCAAACGGCTCGATGAGCAGCGTAACGGACTGCAGCGCGGGGAGTTTATACAGCCAATCGAGAAGCCAGCGAGCGGGGAGAGGCTCGAGGTAGAGGCCTTGCGCCAGCCAGACATTGAGGGGTAAAGCGATATGCTGCACGACGGGCACGATCCCGTCGTTGCGATACGACGCGGGAACGTTTTCTTTGAAGAGATATTTTTCCATGGTGCCGCTGGTCCAGGATGCAGAGGGGGGGAAGTAGATGGTATCGGTGTTGGGATTCCAGTAGAAATCGGATTCTTCGGTATTGGGACCGAGACCATTGCGAAGGATGCTTAGTGCTAAGCATCGAGATTCAGAATTGACATGACAGATGGAGGGAGTAGCCGAGAAATTTCCCTGCAGGGAAGCTCGCGTATCGTCATAGGCGTCGACTTTTACCTTGAGCGTTCGACCGCTTGGAAGTGCGTATTTCCAGACATGTAGACGAAGCTCTGGTGGAAGATTGCGAAATTGTGGGAAAAGGGGCTCCTCATCTGACTTCACGAAGCTGGAGCTGTGATCAAGTAACATAATTATAGGTGAGTATCCGTTCGGAGAATTTATTGAAAGAATGTAGGGGTATCTCGGCAACGCAAAAAAATGTAACTCTAGAATATCGTCCAAATTTCACTTAATGCTATTTTAATATCAAACACGGCTTAATTATTAATCCACAATTCAATGGGAATATAGAGACTTATCAAGGATATGAATAGTGGCGGTGTAATAATCTACGCGCGCGATAGGATCTCGGTCTGTTGGAAGCGGTCGACAATCCCTCGACATCTAGACTAGCCGCGGTCACATGAACTTTGGACACTCTCATCTAGAGCAATAAGATATGGAGGAAATAAGCGCAAGCGCTCTGATAAACTTTTCCAGGTGGTCTGGCCGGGTTGGAAGATGACCACGGCAGTGAAAGATTGAATTTTGGAGATGATTGGTTGATGTTTCAGAATCAAAACCACAATATTTGAAATTGAGCCACGGTCATAAGATACTGTCCCTTCAAGCACGCTCCTGAGATAGAAATAAGAATACCATTTGATGACCCAGAGGCAGAGACAGATACTTTGTTGACCTACATATTTTTTTTTTTGGCTGTAGGCTTCAAACTCTGATGCCTCTGAAAAGCAAAGTGAACGATGGTGTACAATATAGATGCTACGTATACTGGTTATTACAGTACGCCACCGTTCTTGTAATATTAAACATATAATGCGACTTGAAATTGAGGAGATGATATGAATGGTGTCGTAATAGCTTGAGACAACAGCAGGCTATTGACATATCCATGTTTCCAGAATGGCAAATCGTTGGTCCAGAAATCCTCAACAAATTCACCCAATAAGACAAATATCAATCTTCTTGAATTATAAAAAACAGGACACTTGTCCAATCCCCAGCTCCAATGATCTTGAAAGAATGTGCAACAACCAACTTTCAGAATAAAATATAACATACATTACTACATCTCAGTCGATTTCTGAACGAGACGCAGCTAAATGCCATTAAAACGTGAAATCTTAAATTCTTTCTCGCATGTCTCGCTAAAACTTCTCCTTCGACCATATGGTCTATATGTATATACATTCACCCAACCGTAATTCTTTATCCACATATCCCCATTGTCTCTTCAAACAAATTCCCTTTCAAGTCCCCATCTACCACTTTTCCCAATCATCATCTTTCTTTGCCCCAACGCCACTTCCATTTCCACCTCCACCATTCCTCTTGACAGCCGCAGTTCCAATTGATGCACTGGGTGCATGTTGTCTCTTGGTCCCAGCATCAGCGAAACTATCCCAGAAATCCTTCTTGCTCTCATCAATAGGTACATTCCTAGAAGGACCACCTCCACTACCTTCGACAAAACGATTGAATCCATCTGCGGCGCTTTTGGCTCCAGTTTGCGCATTTCGGGCAACTTGAGCGGCGGTAAGTTGTGCTTGTTTGGCTACATCGGATTCGGCGATCTGGGAAGAAAATTTATCAGTTGATGATCATTATGCGGGACATGAGAAAGCACAATCGATATGTGGTGTCAGAGAGATGAGATTACCTTCGCAGCAGTAGGTTGTATATATCCTTCATTAACAGTCTTTGCCGTCTTTCCCACAGTAGTTGTGAACCATCCAAAGCCCTTCGTAAGTGCCGCGACAGGATCTCTCTGTAAATCTTCAAGACCTGGTAGTTTTGGATTATTATCTTCTCTCTCAATTGGTTGACTTCCAAAACCTCCATATTTGCCTCCTTGTGAAGGTGGTAAATCCTCGGATCGATTCGCATTCGCAGCTCCAAGTCCAGCAAAATATCTATCGTCAACCTTCACTTTGCCATTAGAAGGACTCGCGTTTCTTGTTCTAAGAGGAGTTTGTGACTGGGAATTGCTAGAACTATGGTTGGAGAAAGATGTGGCAGCAGTTGTAGATTTTGAAGCAGGAGCTTTTGGTACGGGGACGTATTCGCGTTTCTCGACTTTGGCAGTGAGTCGTTCTTTGTATTCCTCTCCAACTTCGCCGGAATATCGCTCAGCAATCGTTGCATCATCCCAACTGTAAATGCGTCAGTTATGTGCCACTGCCCACCGCCTACCGCCCACCGCAATAATTGTGTCGCAACTAAAGTCCACTTACGTGATACCACTCATGACGTTTCTATCATCCTGGTCGAAGAATTCCCTCCAAGTCTTATTTCCTCCTTCTCTCATTCGCTCGATTTCTTGCGCCTTGAAAGCATCCATTGTGATACTTCTTACAAAACTAATGTGGACTCCCAATCCGCGGTGAACTCCAGCGCAAGATAGACAGATGAAAACGCCGAATTTTGGGGAAGCCCATTGAGGAGAAGGTGCGCCACAGTCGATACATCGGTCGTTTCCATTTGTTTTGGAGATATCAAGGAGCTGAGTTCAAGATATGTTTAGTATGAGTTCTGTTAGAAACGAGACAATGGATGTCTGCGCTCATGGATGGGCGCCCCCCATAGAGAGGAGATTACCTTTGATCTTGTCTCCGGATCAACCTCCCACATAGCCTTTGAAGTCATTTCTGCTATTGGCGTTGGATCAATTGCTAACTGTGTGTTTCCTGTCCCTCTAATCTCTCCAAGTCCCGTTGTCGATAAAACTGCCTGCTCAGGTTTCTTTGCGCTCCAAGTCTCAATTGCTCAATGACGTATTTTCAGATATTGATTGTCTTGCGCGAGTGTCGAGAATTCAGTGAGAGTAATTAAATTATCGATTGGTATGTACGATTATGAATAGTTATAGATGTTTATCGTCGAATGTAGATCGCTTGTAGTCTTGAAGTGGTGGGGCTTTACAAAGGGGAATTGAGGTTCTAAATTTGGGAGTGTTCGCGCAATGGAGGTCAAACCACGCTAAGTGAGATCTAGACCAATCAATATCCAAGGTTCAATACCTGCCTGGGTATCGTGATTGTAAGGATTGGGATTGGGTTTTGAGAAAAAAGGGGCAACCGATTTAAGGGTAGGTACTCAACGATTCGAATGGGGATGCAGGTCTCGTTCAGAATTGAGAGACAGTGGGTTATCAAAGTTTTGGCTGGAAGCACAGTGGGTCACGTCATCAATTTTTATGTCACTTGGGAAAGATGTCATTCTGCTGGTAAAATCGTTCACGTTATTATCATTGATCTGATAATGATAGGGTTGTCATCAATCATTAATCAATAATTTTTCCATGCCCACCCATCCCATATGGAAGCACGTCAGAAAAAAATCTAGTGTACACCCACAGAATGCCAGCAAAATTGTAATAAGACATAGTTTTTGAAAAAGAGTCATGAAGAACTATGAACCCATACTCGGAAATGAAAAAGTTAAGTCTGTCGGAAAGAAAGAGCGTAGAAGCCCAAAGATCTATTTAGACGCCATTAACAAATCCACCGAGTTAGTATTCATATGTCCACCTAAAAGAAAATCGTCAAAAAGATGATCGATCCATTGAGTAAATCAAAGGAGCAAATCCGTCCTTTCCTATGAGAGCTTTCACAACGCATCGACAATGGTCCAAAAGCAACGCATAGCAATGCATTAGTCTATCATCTGCAGGTCTGTAGAAGTCTCCTCTCATTCACATCATACAACGTTTCGTGCTTAAGCAGAAACGGTTTCAGCACCGGCTGGTGGGGCAGCGGCAGTCTCGGCGCTGGCATCAGCAGAGCCAGCGTTGACATCATCATCGGTCTTGTCTGGGCTGTCGATAGCGACCTTGACGGCGATCTCACGTCCTTCGATTTCCTTTCCGTTCATCTCAGCAACGGCCTTTTGTTGTTGTTCCTCGCTAGATAGAGTAACGAAGCCGAAGCCACGACCCTTGCGGGGTTCACCTCGGGCTTGGAGCTTCTTAACCATGAAACGGGGGATTGGGCGAAGGGCGATCTTGGCAGAAGTTGGCTCATAGACGGCAAAGAGTTCCTTGAGCTACAATTTTGTTAGCAAATTCATACGAAAGAGGCTGTTTTTAAACGTACCTTATCCTCGTGGAGATCGTATGGAAGGTTAGCAACCATGACCTTGTTCTTGGATGGAATTCCATCAGCTGGTGGACCACGCTCGCGACGCTCACGGGGTGGGCGAGTAGTTTGTGGCTTAGCCTCCTTGGACTCAGTAGTGGCTTGGTTGGTAGTTTCGGTCAAAGGAAGAACCTCAGTGGTAGCAGGTGCCTCGGTAGCGCCATCCTCAGTGCGGGACTGTAGTTATATCAGCAAACTGTTCTCCTGGGAAATGTAACTTTCAAAAAACTTACAGCGTTGTTGCGGCGTCCTCCACGTCCACGGGCACGTCCACGTCCACGGCCAGATTGTCTGCGGCGTCCACCCTCACCGCCAGATTGACCCTCTCCTCCGCTTGCAGCAGTCTCAGTCTTGTCGTTTGTCTCTGGCTTGCGAGCAAGTTGAACAGAAACCTTGCGATCCAAGATCTCCTTTCCAGAGAGCTCAGAGATAGCACGCTCGGCCTCAGTTGGGGTTGAAAGGTCGACGAAAGCATATCCGACTGGACGCTCGGTACGTGGGTTCTTTGGGATAGAGGTGGATTCACTGTGTCAAAGTATTAGCTCGTGTAGTAAAAATGGTACAAATTAAATATATTAGGAAAGTGCAGAGATACTCGCAGCTTCCCAAAATCTGCTTATTTCAGGTGGCATACGAATTTTGATAGAAAAATGAAGGCGACGTTGAAGATGACGTGTGAAAGTGAATGTCGAGGCAATACTTACATTAAGTATCCCTTGAAAAAGGCTTGCAACTCCCCCTCGGTGGTCGCGTATGCGAGGTTACCGATGTAAAGTCTTCTTCCCTCTGCAGCACTGGCCAAAACAGCTTCCTTGTCGGTAGTAGTGTTGGCAGCCTTCTCACCAGTGGTGGTCTCGGCGGGCTTGTCAGAGATGGATGTGTTGCCAAGAGCGGCAGTAACGTCGGTGACGGCGTCAGAAACTTTCTCCACGATGCTAGACATGATGATAATTGATTTGATGGTATGTGGTAGTTAAGACTGAGTAGAAGCTTGAATTGAATTGAAAATTGATCGACGTTTGCTGGGAGTGTGTTTTAATACTCTCTGAACAAATTGGGGGAGTTGGAAAAGGGTAGCTAGGTGCCCTAGTGGTCTGGTTTTGGGGAAGTTGGTTGAGGATTTGTTGTGATTGACACTTGATGGAATTCTTGAAGTTGAGGTGTTCAAAAGGAAAGGGAGAAAGAAGTCGGGATTGCGCAGTGGGCAGAATATATCAAATTCCAATGGAATCGCTGGGGCAGCCGCATCTTAGCGAGTGGCACTTACCGTAATTGGATTAAAGCCAGTGGCTGAACAGGGCTGGGAATGGGGATTCTATTCGATTAGAGAATTTTGAGATTAGACAGAAGGTTCGACGCAAAGCAGAAATCCACCGTGAGCAGGAGGAAGGTCGTGATTAATTGGCTGAGGGAAGGGAAGAATCATTGATAAGGTGGCAGGCAATTGGGAAGTGGCAGTTGGCAGGTGGCACGGGTGGTACGGTGAGAAGGAGATTTGATATTGAATGAACATGGGGAAATGGTGAGATAGGAGGTAAAGAGGAATGAATGGAGTTATTCTATTTGGATTACCAGGATATATATGTGTGTGTATTCTATATTCTATATTCTGTATTCCATATTCTGTATTCTACATTCTACATTCTACTCATCGTTGGCTTGACATGATCGCCAGAGGTATAGCGAGATAGGAGATACCTAGGTAAGGAGGAATCATGGCGTAAAACGATTAGATATTGAAATGTATTGATTGTATTTTCTACCGGGACCCCATGATAAGTAAGTACTGTATTGTCTCTACATGTAGCTCGGGATTCAATCACAAAGATACAACCCCCATAGCAAGCGAATCTACAAAGCCACCTGGAATCATACGGTGTGAGATTCGATGTTGTTCTCGAATGCCACATAACATGGGGAAATGGCGAAAAAGACAAGGTAAGGTAAGGAGTCATATCATAAAAGGGGAAGGATTAATGACTTGGCGATTGGGCGGGTGTTTACTTGTCTACCTGTATATGGTCAAGAGCATTATTTGGGAAAGGCGTACCTAGTACCTACCTGGTACCTACCTATCTATGTACGATGTACTCCGTATGGATCAATAGAATTTCCCGTCAATGAATGCTGTCACTGAATGCTTGATATTTTGTCATGTGATGTGAGTACCAGACGGGTCAATATCAATTGATGACAATAATACTGTCAGAGTACAAGAATGTCAAGAAAACGTCAAGAAAATGTCAAGAAATCATTAGGGCACTCTTTGATAGATTTGATAGATGATTCACACCTAAATATGTCATATTTCTTCTTATGACATCAAAATAGGTTCTAGAACCACTTAATAAATACTCGAGTAATAAAGTATGCAGATCGATCCATTGCTACGGAGTACATATATCAATATCTCCTCTATGTGTCTATCAAAAATCAAAATGCATCATCAATATTCACCAATATAATCAAATATAAATAAATACCCAATCAATTTGCATAATTCTGATTAACAAAGTGTCTTTTGTTATTATCTTATTTATATACTCTTGCCTATACCTAGGTATCTAGATATCTCAATGGTATCTAAAATCATTCATTCCTTATACCGTATCAGTATCTTCATCCCCCATCTTCCCAACACTTAAATTTCCATGTTCCCACTCTTTGTATGTAGTGTTGGCATTATGTACTCATAATCATAAGTATGCCTGCATTGCAGCTTGCTAGTTGGAAACAACGTTTTTCTTCTATAGCTTTCTGTTGCTAACCGTTCTTTGTCTTGTCTTGTTCTGTATGCATGAAGCCATTGACTGTTAGGTTTTTGAAGGGAAAACCGGTCATTTACCTCGCAATCACAATATAAAGACTTTGTTTCCTTCTGGAAGACTGCAAGACTGCAAGACAGGTTGTACGATAATCACTTGATACCACACAAAACCACAAACCACAGAATATCATACTACATGGATTCACCTTGAAAACTTACCCAGCCCTCTTGTTAATAATTGTTCATGCTGTAAGCAGTATGGGTGAATGAAATGGGAATTCGAAACAGTCAACTAATAACCAATGTCTCGTGACTTATTACATGCAACACTTCTTTGATAGTGGTGACCAAAAATTATTTTTCTTATCAACTGGTCGACTATGGATTTTATATCATGTCGAGTCATTCGTCGATACTTGCCATTGCCACAAACAATCATCAATCGCTTAAGTGTACCAAATGTCTGATATACTCAATGGCCAGCGGCATGATAGGAGCGCACTCATCCTTTATGGAACGGAAACTGGAAACTCTCAAGATGTGGCCGAAGAATTGGGACGCATTACAGAAAGACTTCATTTCATGACAAGGGTGTGTGAGATGGATGATGTTGATATTGTATGTAATTTCTTTCCCAAATTTTAACCAGATTATACTTATTTGAATATATCAGAGAGAATTATCAAAGTACACTTTTGTTATATTCACATTGTCAACCACAGGGCAAGGGGAATTTCCAAAAATGCAAGGAAAATTTTGGAATAGGTCTGTTGAGAAAGCGTTTGCCTCCCAATTGTATGAGTCACGTGAACTTCACCACTTTTGGTCTTGGTGATAGTTCTTATGCAAAGTAGGTACAAACTGGGATGGTAGTCATGTAGAGGGAAAGGGAGGAAGAAAGGCATTTGCTAAATAAATGATACTAACAACTTTTTAGGTTTAATTTTGCATCTCGTAAATTACATAAAAGATTGGAACAGCTGGGTGGGAATGAAATATATCCTAGAGGTGAAGCAGACGACAACACGATGAAGGGTAAGTGAACTTCTATTTCTCTGAGGAAAATCTCGTTCTTCTATTTTAATTGGAAACTCTTTGCCTACATACTTCATAGTGGAAGTTGCTCTATATCTTTCATCCCAAACTCTGCACCTGCCTAACTTCTAACGTAAAACAGTGTTGATGGAACTTTCCTCTCTTGGTATATTGATCTTAGGAAGAAACTCCTAGAATCATATCCATTGCCAGATGGCTTGGATCCAATTCCTGATGATGTCCTTCTACCCCCAAAATACTGGCTAGAATTGGCAACCGAATCTTCTACAGATAATGGGAAATCAAGTTCATCGCTTGAAAACACAGATGACAATGGTCAAACAAAATTTGATTTATTAAATAGCAAGCTTGCTCCTCCCAAAGACTTGGAAGCTTCCAACTTACCCAAAAACTCTACTGATCCGGATACACTTGGAGGAGCCGATATTCAAGCTCACCAATCTTCCGTCCCAAACACAGCGACAATGGCAGATAAATTTGGCCTGGAATCTGGGATAAGATTTGATAATGGTTTCGATGCACCAGGACCATCATCGAATCGGTTGACCGATTTCCACAAAGAGCAACCAGAAGATGACAATGTATTACCCCCGCCCGCACTTCTAAATGGATTTAAAAGGCATCGTTCACCACTTATTGTCACTCTGGAAGCCAACAAGCGCGTCACTCCTCCAGACCACTGGCAGGATGTTCGCGAGATGACCTTTAAGCTTAGGGGCAGAGATTTCATGTTGTATCCTGGGGATACTATATCAATCTATCCCAAAAACTTTCCTGAAGATGTTCAGACCCTCATTGATTTGATGGGATGGAACGATGTTGCGGATCTGAAGTTACACTTTAAACCAAAATCACCAGATTGGTTCGGCGCGAAAAACTTGATAATGGCCCCAGATGGTCTCAATAAGATTGGTGACGAACAAACACTCAGAGAGTTACTGATTCATAGTCTTGATTTTCAGGCCATTCCCAAACGTCGTTTCTTCGAGCTTATGGCCGGTTATACAAATGATCCGACACACAAAGAACGCCTCCTTGAGTTTCGAGATCCTCTCTATACCGATGAACTTTATGATTACACCACTCGTCCTCGTCGCAGCATTCTCGAATGTCTTCAGGATTTCCCAAGCGTCAAGCTTCCTTGGAAACATGCCATTACCATTTTCCCTGTGATCCGAGGTCGCGAATTCAGTATCTGCTCCGGTGGCGACTTTCACAAACCCAGCGTAGTCCTAGATAAACATTCCCGAAATTCTAAAGAATTGAACAATTACGGAAATTTCGATGATCCTAGACCCTTCAAAGATTATCAATTCCAAATTCTCGTCGCCATTGTCAAATACCGCACCGTTCTTCAAAAGGTTCGCAATGGTCTCTGTTCCCGTTATCTAGCCACTCTTCCCAAGGGAACAAATCTCACGATCCATTACAATGCGAACCCTTCTTTCTATAAAGTACCCCCGCTTGTGCCAAACCTTTCCCTCATCTTAGTCGGTGCAGGTACGGGAATCGCACCTCTACGCTCATTGATCTTACAACGCTTGAAACAAATTAAAGACACACCGGAGGGCAGAGTCCAGTTTGGAAAAGTCCACCTTATATATGGTGGACGCAATCGCAACGCGGATTACTTCTTTGCTAATGAATTGGAATCGGCCCAAGTAAAAGATCATGTACATACAAGTCCGGTTTTCTCACGAGATCAAAAACAGAAAGTTTACGTACAAGATGAGATTAGAGCACAAGGAAAGGAAATTGCAGATTTGCTCACGAGGCAAAAGGCAATGATTTATGTTTGTGGTAGCTCGGGTGGTATGCCCAAGGGTGTGAGATGTGCGTTCTTGAGCGTCTTGCAAATTCATGCGGGAATGAGTATGGAGGAAGCGGAGGCTTTTATCGCGAATCTGGAGAGGTTGAAGAGATATATACAAGAGACGTGGTAGAGTATCTTGCAAATGGAAGATGGAAAGTAGACAGTGCTGCATGGATTGACGGGTTGTAATTATTGCAGAATACATCAAATGCTGCGGAGATTCTATCCCCATACCAGACGCATGGATTGACGGCTGCTAGAATGGCTTGGGCCTGGGTATCATGTATCAATATCGGGATCCTTCATCGTGATTGTTTCTGGCGATACTATAGATTGTATTGTAAGATTACGATAAATTATATCACTCACTACCTTGATCCATCGAGCTTGATGATAAGCCACCTAAAATTCTGGATACTGGATAACGATCCATCATTCCATCCCCGTCCTCCTCCTCTTCTACATATACCTAGATGCATGTAACAATGTCACATCACCACCCACTCCATAAACCTATACGTCCCCGTCCCATAACTACGAAAAATTGATGGTGTAAATTCATAGTGTAAATTCATAGTGTAAATTCATAGTGTAAATTCATAGTGTAAATTCATAGTGTAAATTCATAGTGTAAATTCATAGTGTAAATTCATAGTGTAAATTCATAGTGTAAATTCATAGTGTAAATTCATAGTGTAAATTCATAGTGTAAATTCATAGTGTAATTCATAGTGTAAATTCACAGTATAGTATAGTAGTAAGAATTTACACCATAATCCCTATATTAACTACTATCCCCTCTCTTTCACTTTCACTTTCACTTTCGCTTTTACTTTTACTTTTACTTTCATCATCTCCATCTCCATCTCCATCTTCCTTATTGTTAAACATAAATATATCCCTATATTTTCTCTGATTTTGTAGACTCGTACTCGTACTTGTACTCGAGGGATCGATGTCGGAATTGGAATTGGAATTGGAATTGGTATCAGAAGGAGAAGGAGAGGGAGAAGGAGAAGGAGAAGTAAATCGCATGTTCAAAATAGATGGTATATCGATCGAAACCATGTATCCGCGCGCGTGAGGTAGATAGGTGATTTTTGTGTGGTGGGGGAGGAGAGGTGTGAGGGTTAGTGTGGATGGGGATGAGAGGTGGGAAATGCGATGGGAGGTGAGGTGTGGGGTGGATGGTGGAGAGGAGATGTATAGAGCTAGGATTCCGGTGCCTTTTAGGTGGATGTGGAGATTGAGATTGAGATTGAGGGTTGGTGGGGGGGGTGAAGAGGAGGGTAGGTTTGGGTTTGAGGTTGAGGTTGGAGGAGAGAGAGGAGATGTAGAAAAGGAAAATGAAAAGGAAAACTCTTAAGAATTGCAGCCGCGCCGACGAATTTGTTGAGGAGACGAGGATGGCGAGGGTTGATTGGTGGGCGGTGGGGGGTTGGGGATTTTGTTGGGAGTTTTGTTGATTATGTGTGCGTGCTTGTGGTTTTTGTTCTGAGGGGTTGGAGATGGAGGTGGGTGATTGTGATTGGAATTAGAATTGGAATTTGAGTTGGCGTTGGCGTTGGAAGTGGAAATGGAAGGTGGAGGGAGAGGGCGAGGGAAAGGAATAGTATATAAAGGACACGCGGTGAGGATTTCCCATCCGGATTCGGGTAATGTGATTAAGCATTTACTCGCGTTTGTTCCGCGGGAATGTAGGGATAGTGGAGGAGAGAGATTGTTGTCGGAGGAACTGTGCAGGATGTATTGTTTTTCTTTTTCTTCTGTTTCTGTTTCTGAATCTTCATCGGTGGTATTTTTCTTCTTGGGGAAAGAAGAATGCGAGAGAGGAAAAAAATCCTCAAGTCCGATGATCTCGGTGATGGAACCGGATGAAAATGTGTTGAATAATCCGAGGACTTTTATGTTGGTTTTGAGGGTTGAGGTGCGCAGTTTTAATATGCGATGGGTGTGGGAACTGGGGTATACGGATGTGGATTTTGCGGGGTGGGTGCGTAGGATGAGGGGGGGAGATGGGGGTGAGGATGGTGATTGGAAAGGGGTGCAGGAAAGTCGGGAGATAATAGAGGTGTCGTGATGAGAGGGTTTATCGGTTATGGATAGGAGACCGCCGGAGAGAGAGCGTGCGGCGGCGTGGTAGGTGGAGTAGTGGGGATTGGGAGGAGGTTTGAAACATATCCCAATCTGGGATTATGTTTTCGAGATGCGTGGTTAGGTGTGAGGTGTGTGAGTTGGTGTGGATGTGCCTATATTGTTTAGTTAGTATTCGTCTGGGATGGTAAACTCAAAGAAAGTTAAGGAGAGAGAAAATGTACCAAGCATGAGTAGCGGGATCGTTGGGCCAGAAATCATCGGAGTTGCGCATGGCTATTTTCTTTGCGGGATGGGTTGATGAGGAGAGTAATGTTTGAGGAGAGAAAATATTGGTAGGATATTGGGACATGCATGATATTACTCTGTCTTTGAAATAAAAAAGTAGTGAGTCGTGGATTGCGTTTTGATAGGCTGGTATTAATTCTCTTCTGTCTTCAGCATTTTTCAGATCATCTAGTAATCCTTGAGTGTCCAGTTTGACCGCATTTATACCACAGCTGACGAGAAATCTATAGAAGCTTTAGCAATTTGGTAGGGCGAAAGGAGGAATTATGATAAATAGTAGGAAACAACACGTACGAATAAAAGTCGTCATAGAATCTTCTCACATCGCAAGCATCTACAACCCACATTCCGCTACGCCGTGAATTATTGATTTCTACCCATCGCAACTTATACTTCCTTCCGATCTCACTCTCGGGCTCAATACCTCCCCAATAACCAAAGATGCCGTGCCAAACTCCAATGTTTCTGATCCATGGATAGGATTGTCTAATCCGTAGTGAGAGATTGGCAAGACCTTCTGGGAAGGATGTTAATAAAGCCTCGAATCTTGACCAACGATGTTGATTTGGGAAAGTTTCGGAGCCGAAAGGGGTTATGGATTGCCATCCATCGTCTATGATAGTTGTAGATGGGTAGATTGATGATTTTCCCAGATCGTCAAGTGTGCCAAAGAGAGTAGTAGATGTCAAGGTAGGACCTAGAGAATTCCATGTACAATATACTAGCTCGTCGTGGAAACTTTTCTTGTCGTTAGGATCTAGAGATTTTGTGACCCTTCCACTCGTAATAGGCTCTGTGTTCAAGCTTTCCCGAACAACCCTTTTTGCATGGCTCATTGCAGCTGTGATACCCTCCTCTACAGTTTTTCCTACGGCACAGATAACAATTCCATCTCTTGCCTCTTCATTCTCATTCTTTCCTATAAAAGTGATACTACCATTCTCACCAGATGTCAATGTCGTTACAACACCATTCATACTTAGCGCAAGCATCACAAAGTTCATTCCATCACTTCTTAGAAAGGATACCAGAATCGCTTTTGGTTCCGCATCTTCGGTGTAGAATTGACAATCATCTTCGCCCAATTCAAATTTGGATCCGCCATGACGTGGTACTAGCCAGAAATTCATTCGTTTGACGAGTGCAAAATATTGAACAATATCCTTTGGGAACCCAATGGTAGTTCGTTGAACACTTGGTTCGGTAGCTGAAGTGACAGAAGCAGGTATCGGGCACGTCAAAGTCCATACGGGCGAATCAGATGCTTCATGCTGTCCATGATACTTGACATGAAGATCAGCTGATAAGTTGGAGATATATTCCTTGATAGAAGACAACTGTAAAGTAGCTGGTGATTTCTGGAAAATGATCTCTGCATCACCAACAGGATTGGGATCATCATTCACCCACCTCCAGGATGACTCTCCGCTTCTTCTGTACTTGATGGTATAACAAATATGTTGTTCATTAAATGATTTCTGTTGTAGAGTGTTTGAAAAAACCAAAACTGAGGTCTCAGGGTCTGCAGCAAGCTTTGCTTTTTTGTCAGTTGCATTCAAAATCACAAGGCTAGACAATCAGATATCCTTACTATTGGTATATTATCATCACTTCGGGTGAGATCAAGCTGATTCCAGCTCATACCCTTCGAGCCATACCACAGTGCTACTTCCCAGTTGGTTTCTTCATCGTCCTGCGGAAATAACACAACTGTGACGTTAATCTACGCATATGTCAGTTGAACAGTTTGCCTCTGACACAGGAATTACGTCATGTGATCTTACCTGGTTCTCAGCAATAACTGTGGTCTGGCCCAGAAGCGGATAGGAAATAACTTGAGCACTCATTTTTCCTGATGATATCAATATGGCAATTACTTTCCGAACCCGAGTTTTGTTAAAGACCTGGGGAATTGGTGGTGCAGGTGCTCAAGATTAAGTTACCCGCCGAGCCCGCCACAGCAACCTAACCCCACAACCGTGCGCCCCCTGACAATCTATAAATTAGCGATGTGGGCCTCCAGGGCTTGTGTTTAACGGGGTTGTGGCGGACATCGTCACCGCTTCAGGAGTGTAACCGCTCTGTTGCCTTGAAGGGATCAGTTTCCAAGAAAAGCAAGAATCAATTCATTACCAGCCGGTGTAAAGATTGGGTTTGGAAATCTCTCCAAAACCTTTGGCTCTAGGATTACAAGTGTAAATGCCTCCAGAAGTACACTTCTAAATTTAAGGTTAATTTATTCGAAAATGAAGAATCCTTTTCGAGTCTGGGGAGGAAGATTGCAATATGGCTACAGCCATGCATAGGACAAATAAAGGGCTCAGTAGTTCCACTCAATATCTAAATTGTCATCAGACAAGATATTTCAAAGGTTATTTCAAAGGTCTCTTGATTTTTCCTTGAGAAGTATCTTCAGAAATCGCTTTCAACAATCACCATGGGTATCAACTCACTCAAAACTTTCGCGGCGCTTTTGCTCACAACAGCATCCATGGCATCAGCTCATGCTATACCAGCCACAGATCCCAATGTTGATAGGCCTACCAAAGCTCACGAGCTTGGCGCCCGTGCTGCCCCTTCAGAGACCTTTCTAACAAACACCGCTGTTGCTACCAGTGCTGAAGCTTATACGAATTGCTGTCAGTTCAAAGAAATTGGAGATAACAGTCTACAGCTCACTTTGAATCTCGCCGGTGTAAGTACATGCACACATTCGCCCCCCTGCTCAATATAACATTTGCGTCAAAGATATCAAATTATCTATGCGACCAATCTTTACATATCTTAAAGCTTACATACCGAATAGTGGGGAAACAGAAACCATCAAAAGAATCACACAATATCCGACGACAAGAACTGCGCTCTTGAACTGCGTGATGGAATATCCACCTTCAGTAAGAAACTTTCCCCATTTCTTCTCGTAACTGCCTTGCTGAATCATGGGGTCATCTAGGCGAAAAAAATGAAACAGTAGATGATTGGATGTGTGTTCCCTCTTACGGTGCTCTCAGAGACACCTTTGTGACTTTTAATTTTTCCAGTCTGGATCCTAGTCCTGTGCTTTTGGCTTTGAACAGAGTAGATCCAGGGCCTGAAGAATGGATTTGCATTATGCCGGTGAAGAGTCAAGAAGATTCCTGGATTTGCAAACCGCAGCAGTTGAACATCTGATTATCTTTTTTGTTCAAGAGATCAGATGTCGCTACTACCTTGGTTGCGTTGTGGAGCTAGATCTGAAGAGAAAGGACGTGTCGGAGAATGCAGAGATGTGTAACATCAACGAGAATGCTTCAAATATGATTCATTAGAAGCAAAAATAGAAGGGAACCATGTGTTTCTGATCACTTTATGTTCTAGTATTTTTGTAATTTAGGCGGTAAATAAAGATGACTTGGGTTTTGTTATATTCTTGATATCATTTTTGGAATGAAACTTATCGAATTCTGACATTTGCATTATGCAAATAGGAAAAGGCATTGCCTGCATTTTTTCTGAGCCAAGGTCTTTCTCCTATGATTAGTGATCATATAAAGCATTTTATTTTAGATTAAAGCTAAATTGGGTTTTGGCAACTACTTGAGATTAGGCAGTCTCTTCGCATGGTCGTCAACCTTCCCTAGCACGAAGCCCTCTTCCTATAGTTACAACCCAATCATTGCCTTCCAATCAGAGAATATGTCAGATATGTCCTGGTCGGGCCAATCTCGACAGACCTTCCCAACGGTATAATCTCTCCAGTGGGATATCCATCTGCTCTTCCGCACATGATTGTATCTGTCCCTTAAGATTAATTCTTTTGCTTCAAGGAACCAAGCTCGAGGTTCCATTTGGTGAGGATTTGGTAGAGCAAGTCTTGGTACACCTCGCAATCTTCGGTACGACCTAGTATGTCGTAGAACATGGGTATCACCATACAGAGGCAAATGGAGAAAGTGGTCTCTATATCTATGTTGGAGAGCCAGCTTTGCCTTACAATTCTCATTGGTGGGATTGTAGACAGATATCGAAAGGTATCTTGGAAAGAAGAATGTATAAGGGTACCTCCCAATATCTAACCAAGTTTTCCGATAATGACAGAGTCCCTGCCAGTTTTCGATCAAGTCAGCCAAATGCTTTCCATGACGAGGATACCACTGCTTACGGATAATTTGAAGGGGTGCGTCTTGATACCAACTTCTAACTGTGCTATACATTGGAGTGAAAGTCGTTTTGTCGGAAAACTGACAACAGCCCAATGGATTGCAAAAGGCTACGGATAGATCTTGATTGCACTTTTGATCAACATATAAAGCTAGGCTGAAGGGTTTCGGGTGATGAATCTTGCAAGAAGTATAGAAGCGGCGACAAGTAAGCCCTAAACAAGCAATCATACATGGACTGAGTTCGTCGAATATGTTCATGAGAATATCATGTGGAAGATCATTGATGGTAACGTGGCGAGTCTTTGTCTCGATAGCGTCATCTATACAATGGTCGGGGCTAGACACACCATCCTGGCGCTCAACGATGGGCTGGATATCAAGAGTTTTAATCTCTGTAGAGGTTGGCTCTGGGATTAATTCGCCGTCGTTAACTTGGTCTAGATTTTCAGGTGACTCCATGATCTCGGAATTCAAAATTAGTTTTCGGCAAAGAACCCTTTGGCTTCGTTCAGTTTCGGTCGTCTTCAGTATTTTTTGATCCTTTGGAAGCTGATATTCCATGTGGTACAGGCTTTGATGATATTTAGTTGTGCTTTTGGTAGTTCGATGGATTTCAGGAACTCTTCGTGTGATATATATAAAGTTATCACCGATGAGGTGGATTGTTCTTTAACTAACAGGAGATATCTTGATTTCCCTACACGGAGTGCGCATTACGTAATGGAGAGCTGTACGGTACTGGTATCTGACTATTGGTAACGTAGCAAGATAGTTTTCGAATTCGCGCTACTTTGAGTGAATTCGATTACTCGGTTTTCTTCGCGGGATACCTAGTACGGCCATTCCATTCACTCCGAAAGTTGTTTTATATTCACTAGAGTGCGGATGGGAAGAATACTATAGCTAAAGGCAGTCAGTCATACGGCAGTGATTATTCTGGTACTGGCGCGTCAGTTTGCCGTAAAGTAAAGTCGCTGTTACGGTGCAGGGTTGTGGATTATAAATGTCAACTTCGTCTCATGGACTCTCTCACACACACACTCAACAAGTTATTCCTACCAAATTATCATCTTCCACAAACAGATCTTCAATAAACTACCTTCGACAATATCTTTCTCGATATATCGCATCGAGATATCTCCTATATCGCCAATATGAGAAGCTTTGAGGGTTATGGCGAAAGCACCACAAAATATCTGCAATATGAACCAGTCGACGAGGACGATGGAACTCAAATTCTTAACATGGATTCCGATATCAAAGAAAGGTCTTCCGCGCAGATGGCTAGTAGATTTAATATATCCTCATTTCTGATTGTACTAATCAATTCTTTTAGGTCTCGCATCCTTTCGAAATGAGGACCTACCTTGCATCATCATCAAAATGCCCGCCGATATAATTACAGCTATTATGGGTGAACTCACACCCTGCATGTGCGCCTGTCTGGGAGTTATTTGTAAAGATATGTACCAGTACTTCAAATACGTCAACCCAAAGCTAGTCGACTTATCTGAGAGAGCGGGCTCGGGATTCCAAAATAAACCTCTCCATATGCTTCTCAAGACTTGGATCGGCCCCCAGTATCGCCGTGGAGTTTTGGTACCCCATCATTATCTTCTCAAATCCGTGTATGGAGAATTCCAAAAATTTCCAGGTGATAGGAAGGAACTTGAATTGGCGCACAGATACTTGGATTATCGTCGATCTACTGAGCCTATGATCATGGAAGATAGAAAGATGCGCATCTTTCCATTTGTACTATCAAATCCATGCAACAAAGGGGACAGCTGGAATGAGGAAGCTCTTGAAGTCATGAGGGAAGACCTTAAATCACGCCTTGATGATGTTCAGCCATGGTTTCATTTTTGGAATAACTATCATGTGTTTGGATTAGATGAATGTCGACATTATAAATATCTTCTTATCTGGCGAAAGCAGTGGATCTTAGATATGTCTTGGTCTAATTATGCTGAGTGGAGGGATGCGATAGGATTTTGATCACTGTTTTACTTCATAGGATGTATCTGATAGTATGGTCTTGTCCCTGTGATATCCAAGATGGTTTTTAGTACCACAATAAATCAGTTTTTTACTCTAGCAAATACAGAGTAAACCATTTACATTTTTGAGAATCCAAAGAAAAGTGAGTAGTGAGTCTCAAATATCAAGATAATTTTGGAAGAATTCCAGAACAATTCTGCTTTCATGGGAAATTCGATATGGCATATCAGAACCATGACTACAAACGTAATTAACAACGAGCACAGCTCTTGATCTTATTGCCAGTTCGAGGGAACTTGTCTCCTTTCAGATATCACTCAATAACCAGTATACCCTCAGAGATAGGCAATGAATGTTGCTCATCATATTTTAGCTTCCTGAGATAAACAGCGCTAATAGACGCCTAGTAACCGATTTGTACATCCTATGCCCTTCACTTGAAAGTTTAAATAAACACATTTTGGACAAGAGTGAGATCCTGGGGATCTATTGAGATGAACGATGAAAGAGATGCTGTGAGTTGTATGAGAGCAAATATATCTGGTTGGGAGAATGAATCAAAACAATCATGTGATAAATTTCAGTTGAGATTCAGTACAAATTATCCAATGTCGATTCACAGTCTGCAACGATTAAAGTCAAAGACTCCTATTGAGGTCGGGTGTACACACTGCAAGAATAAGGTCAATCAAGAAGCCAGCTTAGTTTTCATTTAATATTAATACAGCCTGGTATCTGAGATCTCAGAACATGCATGCATTCAACATCAGGTAGGATCAGAATATTAAATCCAAAGATGATGTACCGGTATGCAAAATGCCAGGCTCAAATTCAATAACCTCTCTTATTAAACTCCCATTCCAGTTTCCATGCCCTGATTCGAAGATCCCATACATAAACCATCATACAATTATCCGATCGTGAACTCAATTAAATGTTGCAATGCAACTAGAAGAAACCAAAGACAACAGCCATTCCACCAAGCATAAGACTTCCAACACTCCAAGATGCTCCATTCATCGACAAAGCATCAGCAGCAGAGCTCGATGCAGAGGCGCTCGCGCTTGAACTTGCACCTGTCGCAGCTCCACTCTTGCTGGAACTTTTGGTGGCTCCAGGTACTTCAGTGACGGCGGTAGCGGTAGATGTGCCGGCGCTGGAGACAGAAGCAGTTGCGGTAGAAATGATTGTGGAGTTAGAATAAACGCCTGGCTTGCCGGAGACAATGGAACTGGACACGGAACCGGATGAGTATACTGATCCAGATGGTGTGTAGGAGGAGATGAAGTTTATGGAGTAGGAGGTGAAGGAGGATTCATACGCTGACAAAGTACTGCTTTCCGGGACGGAGGTAACAGAGGTTATTGGGACCAGAGCAGACAATGATGTGCTGGTGGCATCCACACTGGCAGTGGTCGAGCTAATGCTGATATCTTCGCTGTCTCCGGTTTGGAGAATGGTAGGAGAAGCATAGGTGATTGTAGCTGCAGAACCACCAGCAGCTAGAACTGATGCGGAGTTGGCCAAGGCCAAGGTAACGGCGAAGGCGACAGTTGAGGAACGCATAATGAAATTGAGATTATTTTTTGATAGGAAATCTAAACGCTGGAAAGATTGTATGTTTGAAGAATGAAGAATGAGGAGGGAACGACTGGTGATGGCATGATGAACTTATAAGTAACCCTTTCTCAATGTAACCAACACACAGCCGCAATTTAATATCTAGCCACTTTTCGTGTTGCATGTACGAATCCTACAGGGAACGACTAACATTTGACCCCAGCCCTACTACGCCCACCCATGGTAGTGGCTAGCTTAAGGCTGTCAATATTCGCTAGATTATTACTCTGTAAGTGGCATGATTGATCGAAAACGATCGTGATTGGGGAGATCAGTACGAAAGGAACTTTCCTCATTATTCGTATCATAGGAAGCAAAAATTTCAGTTGATGCAAGAAATTACGGGATGCTCTTGTTTGTTTGGGGATATTTATGGGCCTAGATGGAATCTCAACCCTGTAAGTCGTCATTAGTGGAGTTCATCCCCAGTCAGTGTAGGGTTTCACGACCCCCTGAGCTTACGACCCTGAGAATAACTTGACGGGGGGCTTGGCATCTGATCTATTTTAGCAAACAGAAGAAGGCTGCGTATAACTGGTACGTACAAGTTGAACTCGTATTGTGAAAATTCTTTCAGTCTCAGAATCTCAGTGAATCCAATAATTCGTAGCTGAAGCGGGCCAACGATGATCTCAAGGATTTGACCGACTGGACAGTTACACAAGATGTGGAGATTTACAAGTACAGCCCGCGCCCCCTTTTGATGATCTCTACCTTCTAGACTACTTCGACTGCTCCGTCCGAACTGGAAGCGTTGTCTTATGGCATTCACCAACATTGTATTTCTATTTGTCTTGAACAAAAATAGGCTTAACCAGCCCCCCTCGTAAGATCATCATGAATAAGCAAACTCCTGAAATTCTTATTAATCGAATAGCTAGTTGTTTGGTTGGTGGGCTATATGCAGGTACTTAAGTAAGTAAACGAACTGATAGGTTATGTTACGGTCACCGTATAAACTCATTCATGCAACTTTGGACCAACATCCCGTTCGTTTTCTACTCACCGACAAGAAGGTAAAATGCAACTGAGATTACAGTCTTCATCTCCGCCCTTGAATATCAACACGGAACCCCTTGTATGACGGGAAGGTTAACTGATGCTTCACTTGCGTGCTATCACTTCAGTCCCGTAGTGTAGTTTTTCTTATTCTTATGGCAAATGAACACGCTCCAGAACAATAGGTAAGAAGATCTATCCCAAATTTCGAGTTGATATCTTCGATCAATTGCAAAAGTAATAATTGAATCCCGTTATACTAATTCAATCTGATTGTTGAAATTTCAATGACCTATACTGGATTGTTGATCGAAAGTTCGATAAACTAATCAGCATTGTCATTTGAGATCGTTAGGATAACAATTGTTCTGTGGGAGTTGTCAGGACTCTCCCTAGGCTAGCTCGGTTAGATTAGTATCATGATTTGGTGACACGATTTTTCAAATTCACTATGTGCAGAAAGATTTGTTACCACTTCCGAGTCAAATCTTCCTAATTCTCGTAGACAGCGGTTTGTGAGAATCACACTCACAGTATAGCCAGTTAAGCTCTTGACGGCGATAGCATTCGTACCTGATTCATCCATTTGCACTGCTCCCTAATGAAATATGTACATCATATATTCCATATTCCTATTTTTCCTTGTTTGTGACTCAGTATCTTTTACACTCGCTCAAGCTGTATCGCAAATCAGCTCATCCTTATCACCAAATTCTACTGCATCCGTGCTTGATCCTACAGAAAGTACCACTGCATTATCATTTGCGGAGATTACAACTCAAACTGGCGTTGCATCTTCTCCTTTTATTTTTGCTATCCCCACAGAGCTATCGGAACCCATCAATATAACGGGAACGCCTGATCCAGGATTAAGTTCCTCGGATGTGTCTCAGGCTCTGCCCTCTGAGTCAAATCCCCGCGCTACCAGTACCACGATCGAATGGATTACCGCTTCATTACCACCTAGCACTACCACTACTACCATTACATTCCCTTTAGGCGGATCTGAGACTACTACATCTGGATCTGGGACCTCGGCTTCTGCTTCTACTCCATCATCCACCAACACGGTTACTTCTGAAGTCTTTCTGAGTACTTCACAATCCACTTCTTTGGTCTCTCCATCGATCATGATCAGCACTAGCACTTCTGTGCTCCCAGTTGCTCCATCTACATCTAACTCTACAGTACTAACTCCTTCTGAAACTGGAATATCTGTTATACCGACGGAATCGCCATTGTCTTCTGCTGAACTAAGTGGTATTACACCTTCCGCCTCTTCCAGTATTGTATCTAGTGGCATTGAGTCTTTAGCATTTTCCACTACTATCTTCACAACAGAACCTAGCATCACAACTCTACTCATATCTGAAAGTTTTACGGAAAATTCTAGTACAACACCTTTACCCGAATTATCAACCTTCTCCACAATTGTAGCAACTCTGTCTACAGTTCCAATCAACCCCTCAATTTCATATTCATCTGAGGTTCCGTCAGTCCCTCCACCTGATCCAAGCAGCTTTGAGCCAATTACAACCGTTCCTTCACCTTCCTCTTCAGGGAATAGTGGAAGTAGTTCATCGCCAAGCGCTTCAGGATTGATCGGTTCATCCCCAAGTGCCTCGGAGTCAGGAAATGGTTCATCTCCATCAGACTCTGTAGCAACTATTACACCGCAGAGCTCTACAATAGATTCTAGCACGACAATTTCATATCAATCTGAGACCCTGACAGCAGCTACCGATACTGTGCCCTCCGCAAAACCGAGTGATGTGCCTAGCATCATCGAAACTGCAGCATCATCCACTGTCATCTCACTTGGCACAAGCCTCAGTGTCATTGAATCCACCAGCAGTGTAGAATTTTCAGTCACATCCAGTACGATTGATAGTTCAGAGACTCTGTCTGAATTTGACGTCTTTACAACGAGCTCTAGTACAGTTCAGGTTAACACAGAACCAAATCCTGGAGTGAGCCACAGCCACTGCCACAGCCACTGCTCTTGCTCATCAAAGATTAAGACAGCTAATTCAACGGTTAAGATTTCTACCACTACAGCGTCTTCTTTGACTGATTTAGTACCGTCATTATCACCACTCGATAAGACCTTCAACAGTGATATTCAATCGTTTGTCAGTACATCCAGTGTATGGAATACCAGGTTCTTTATCGAATCAGTCCCTACTGTGACTACACTGGTCGTTTCTACATCCCCAAAATCTACAAGCCCGGCTACGGCATCTCCGCCTCGTGTCAAATCGAGTGCCCAGTCTTTCTCTGTATCTTCTATTCCAGTTACTGTCAGCTTCCTTCCAGGAGATATGGCAGAATCAAAAACAACAACATATCTGAGTTCGATTTATACACTTATTCAGGTTTATACCAGATCTCCTACATTTAGTGTGGTAGAGTCAAGTAGCAGTCCCATTCTTCCGAATTAATCGGACTGCACGTTGTTACTCGGTCCAGAAACTAGAACATCCAAAATTTCCCATTAGCCCCCCCGCATCAGATACCAGTGGAATACTCAATTAGTGATTTACTACTAGTCAGACCACGGACTGGAAGCATGCCCGTCACTGTTTCAACCTCGAAAGACCAACAAGTGGTCTTGAATCCGCAACCGGATGGATCGTCAAGAAACAATAAAATCTAATACCATCCTCCAAGATCAGAGCCGTAAATATTTTTGGTCCACAAACATGCAACTTTTGGAATCGAAGATAATGGGAGAAATGAGATGGTGTCTGTAGGTTGGTCGGGGGAAAAGGATATAAACTGATTATAAATATTGATAGAGAAGAAAGCTCGCAGACTGGGCTGTGGGCTTTGGGTTGTGGTCTTCGACTTTGAACATATTTTCTTTGCGTTCACTTTACTTTCAAGGTGTGTAAATGATTAGCTGAGACAATGATTTATGAAAGAGATATCAGTCTAGTAGGGGCGTTGGACTTTCGATTGGCTTGGAATTATACTGCGAAGCTTTTACTAGCTCTGTCTCCAAGAAACTACTCAATTCCTTTATTTCAATCTACGATGCTTTCTACCTCGCTTTCCTTGCACCCAAATCCCATCTTTTTACCTAGCAAGTTACTTCTGTTTTCTCTCTCATACAGCTGATGAATTTTTCCCTCATAATTCATGAAGCTCTTTGCATTAGTTTTTCTATCTCTTTTCATTCTCGGTTGTTTCCTTGCAATCCGCAAGGCTTTCCACCGGAACCATATAGTTGCTTTCCTCATCTCCAAGTTCTTCGGTCTTGTAATCATCCAATTTGTGTGAGTCTTTAAGCTCTTGTCCACCTTCAGCATCAACCTCAACAGCTCTGTTTATCCTCTCCCCAAGTCCTTTTCTCTCCTTGTATCTTCTGTTCATATTCTGAAGTCTGTTGATTTGCTGCTCATAAAACTTGTTCATGATTTCGAGTTCTTCTAAGCTTTCAGCACCGTCAGTCTCCATAACTTGATTCATTCTCTCCTCGAGTCCTTGATCTTCATCCCGGATTCTTTGCAACTCAGCAGCATTCTCTGCGACTTGTTTTAGTCTATCCGAGAGTATTTTTTGTTTATCATTATCAAGTTCGTTCTCCTCCAAAGTGGCCTCATCTATGATTTTGTTCACTCCTTTCAAGGTCCCCTTTTTCTGACCTTTCAGTCCGTTTCCTTCACTAGCGATAAGCCGAGCGTATTTCTTTATTTTAGCCTCGCGTCTCTCTTTTCCACCTCCAAGTCCTTTACTTTCAACATTGTTGCTTTGCGCCGTTGCAATGCTTGCGTCTGGAATCTTTCTCCTCTCATCCTCACGCTTCTGTTCAAATTCGCGTTTCTCCTCATCGTTTAGTCTCGCCCATAAAATCTCAATCGCTCTAATCTCACTTCTCCTCTCCTCAATTTGTGGTCCATCAACGGAGGCGACAGACCTTTCTGCAACATTATTCATTCTACGCGGAATGCGTCCAGATACCTGCAAATTAGAGTATCAGCAGCAACAATACAATTGGTTTTTTTCGTGTATCTTACAAGACATAAGGGACAGTGGTAGGCTTCATCTGCATGATTTTCGTAAGCAATGATGGCAGAACGATGTTCTTCACTGCTTTCCGCATGTTTTTCTGAGGCCATGTTGATTTGGAGAAGATCAAATGTTCTGCGATGGAATCTGTGGTTGCTGGTTGAAGTTTAGTTTGATATGTTAAAGAGTACGATGCGATTGCTTGATGTTCACGAAATTTATTCACTGATGAACGATACTGTATTTGCATCTGTATTTACATCTTTGCCTACATTCTAAGCAGATTCTATGTATTCCAATAGGAGGAAGGAAGGGACCATGAGAAGTCGCAGAATTGGACGATTGGGTGGTCAATCGCAAGTGCCTAAATAAGACTTTCTATATGGTTCAATCCTCATCTTCATCGCTGAACTTAGTAATAGGTACCATGAGAATGTGATTTGCAAGCCGGTATACACTGCAATAGTTAACTTTCTTCAAAAGGCAGCATCAAAGCATCTTCAGAATTGTTAGAAGAATTCATTCTTGCAGGTATCTTGCCTAATGGGTAGAATAAACTTCTTCTCCTTTCAATTTTACAAAATCTCAGTCGCGAACTGAGCTTAGACTGAACTTTTGGTAAGCTTTACGATCTTATGTTCGGTATCTGGTTCAAAATTAAAGACTATACATCAATGGTCTCGAATGGCGATTTCTCATAGAATCTTGGAATGATGAGGGATTGTGTTGGAGATCTACAAATTTTTGCAGAAACCATCAGCATGGAAATGTAGTTTGTCAGAGCTTCAACAAAGGACTTTCACACACTATGCAGCTTCTGTGTTTCTCAAGTATAAACTAACTTTGACGATCGATAGAGACACCTCTCGTAGTCGGAAATACCATCGTCGAAAGGTTTCACAAAGCAAAAACTTATACAGAAGTCCTCGGCAGATGGCCGTTAGTGTTTACCTTGGCATCATGTACGCCAAGGTATCGTGGTCAGCAACGAATCGGTACCTCCGAAAGACTTCGTTCTAGATATTTGCAAGAAATGATGGATCAAACACACACTTTCAACTATTTTGATTTCAATCGCTAGCGAAATATACCAGAGACGTCAGATTTACCAGACACATGTCCCAATGCTGAAATACATCTTGACTCGAGCAATCCTTCGTATTCTCATTCACTTCAAAGTTCTCTCGAAACTCGAACTATCTGTAATAGGAGAAAAGTAAACTGCTCGGTGATTAATCTATCTGGGTAAACAAATCTCAAATGAACCCCGATGACAAAGGATTCTGATCGACAAACATTACACAACGCACAAATTGGAGAAAATTCAGCCGCGACTCAGCCTTGTGGATATTATGCTGTCAGCAGAGTAGAGCAAGAATTGAATGACCTTGAGCTACCAAGTCTAGTGATTGGTCAATCTGGGATAATTCTCTTATTCCAACCAATTTCCAATTCGTTTGGTGGCCCTATAATTCGGCGTTTGGGATATGCTGTAGTGAGAATTCCTACAAAAATGTCTCAGAAAGAGACGTTTGGCGTAGCTGAGTTGACAACTGCTAATTACAACATCTGATGTCCAAGGGGAGTAGGGAAACTAAGGAGTAAGATATCGTACCATATTCTACATCTACCAGTTGCGAAACGAACTAATGCTTGATTACATAGGGGCTTGTGTAAAGCCAAGCTTCAACAGTAGCAAAGTCAACGGAGAAGACCCGACAATATGCTCCTAATCGGTGCTTATAGTCGATTTAGATGTGATGCTGTACAAAGAGGATAATCTCTTGCCAGTATCCTCACTACTTTGCAATTTTCTGAGGTCGCCGTCTATCGGGCTTTTATCTGCTATCGTGTAGAACTGTATACAGAGAAATATGTGCGCAATTTGGACTTACGATATTTCCATGTTCCCGAATGTAAGATTTCAAGTCTGAACAGTATTCCTTCGCATGACGAGTAGCTGGAGATACTTATATGGTTCTGATGCGGGCGGTATATAATGAGAGTGAGCTCCATTGCATTTTGTTTATCCACACAAGTTTTCTTTGGCTTTAATTCTTTACACCTCAATCACTTCAGTCTATCTTTAAATTCCACTTATTAGCATCATACATCTTGCTACCATAATGTATCTCTCCGGATTTGCAACATTTCTCCTTGCAGTCGCACCACTAGTACTGGGCAGCCCACTTCTGCCACGAGAGGACGAACGACTAGACGAAGCGGTTTTCCTTACGACCTGCTTCAAGTATATGAAAAGCAACGACGCCACACCAAACGGCCGAGACGACAAACTCTGGTACTTCAAAAACTACGACGATTCTATCAAAGGAAAGCAATTCGACGAAGCCTATGCCTCCAACCCGGGCGACCAAAACCATCCCGTGGACTGGACGTCGGGTACAGAAGGAAAACCCATAACCGGCACACTCGACAAGAAGCCGTTCAAAGTATGGGGACTCACGGAAATGGGAGATGGCAAGACGTTCGTTACTGGATATGCTGATCTAGGAGGCGCCCCCATGCGCTGCTACAACAACTCTGTCTCGTCTTGGAAACAGGATTATGGAGAAAAAATGTACGTCAAATGTAGTGCGAAATACTACTGCACGAGAAATTCGCGACAGATCCGTCGCACGATTGTGACGACTTCGAGTACGATGCAAAGTATTCTGTTTCTGGGACAACAGAATTACGATATCAAGAATGATCATGGAGTGCAGGAACAGGTGAAAAATGCTTTTTTGTGGTTGAAGGATCACTATAAGAGTAATGCTGCGGATGGGGAAGGATATAAAATCGGAAGCAAAGATTACAAGATGACATATGCGGTGAATCGGATGGAGAAAGAGGGAGATCCGTATTATGAAGCTGATCGGATCAACCAAGTTGCGGAGTTGGTGGCGGAGAAAATGCTTCCTGAGTTTGACTACATGAGTGAATCATTATGGTTGAGATACGTGTTCATGTGTTGAGAAATTTTGATGAGGGGTAGATGAGGGGTAATGAACTGGAGCCGGAAGCAGATGAGCAACAGTACATTCTAGATGTAGGTATTTGAATGAAGATCAGGCGCAGTGGATCGAAAGGCGCAATAATGCACAGTCAAGATGAGCAACAGTACGTCCTAGATGTAGATGTTGAGGTGAATAGCAGAGGCAATGAGCTAGAGAACGTGCTCAAAGAAAAGCCCAGGACGCCTATATAAGAAGCCTTCCTCCCCCCCTTTGCTTACTTTTTTCTTTTTACAATTGTGTTGACCTCAGTGTCTAAGTCTCGGGGGAAATCATACATGATGATTCGCTGTGAACCCCCCTTCCTCTTCCCCGTATGACTTCATCATGACATTGGCTATGCCATAAAGGGGGGTTCACCGCCCGCAACACTTACCTGCCTTGGGCAAGAAAAAAATGTATGTCAACCTTCATTTCACTTTTCAATTTCTTTGCACGCCGATTCACTTTCCAGAAGAAAAAAAAACGAAGAATTCAGCACTCGCTAACCGAAATCCCACTAAGATAAATCTCAGAATTCGTCGCACTCTTTCCATTTCTTCAATCCAACACCAAACAACCAAGCGTTCTGTCGAAAGATCGATACTTCGATCTCAGTCGCAGTGAGTTCTTGGTCATACAATTCTCAATATCTTATTCTCATTGCTAACACTCAAATAGAATATGGTTATGCCACCAACCTCTAACCACTACCAAACCCTCGGTGTTGCGGGTGATTCCACTGAGACTGAGATTCTCTCGGCATTCCGAAAATTACAGAGAAAGTACCACCCAGATCGCCAACCTGCCAACACTGATTTAGGCGCGTCCAACCTTTATTCCTCACATTTAAACCATGCCAAGGATGAGCTGTTGTCTGAGACGCAACGACCAAGACTCGACGCGCTGTTGAAAGCAAACAAACAGCTTCCACACTTCAGCGAACCTCATGGGATCCCTATGACGACGCCTTTTATCAAACCAAAGTCCTGGAATCCGGCACCGAAACCAAAACCCACACCGAAGAAAGATAATGCGAGTGCTGGCTCCAGTACCCAATCCCCGAATAATGGCAACCATAGCTACAAACACTCCAGAAAGACTTCCTATTCGGACTACAAGCAAGGCAACGAGACCAGTGACGAAGGGACTCCAAGTAAAAAGCAGAAGACTAAGTGGGACGAATGGCGAAGTAAGTTTGGCCAGGAGGACTGGCGACGTAAGTTTGATCAGGAGGATTTCGTTGAGGTATCAGACGATGACGAAGATGTGGATTATCAGGCTCAAGATAGTGAAGAGGAAGACTCAGACTATCAAGACCAAGAGATGGACGACTGAGCTACCAAGCACCCAGAGAATAGGTTGGTTGTATCGCATGTTGATCGAGATTTCGGAAGCCTCTATCTCTTCGTCCTCATGTTTGTCTTATCGCCATGTATATACTCAGTATGTTCGACGTTCTTCTTCCCTATTTATGGCTTGGAGCAATTGCTTGCTTTATTTGTTTGCTTGTCGGTGTCGTTAATCTGGAAGCTTGGCTCGGTGGAAGAATTTTCCGTTGACTTGGGTGGCTGGGTGGCTCGGATACTTTAGATGGGGCCAATACTCCTGTCTGTTTGCAACAGTATATATATCAAAAATCACCTGGCCCCTCATCAAATACCAACAATCCCTCGTGGCGCAATTGGCTAGCGCGTTCGACTGTTACCTGAAATAATTCAAATATATCAATCGAGAGGTTCGTGGTTCGACCCCACGCGAGGGAGACGCAGCTTTTGTTCTACCTGGCATTAATTGTTTGCAATAATTGTATAATGTCTCTCTCTCTCCATTAAAATTGTGTGTTGAGGGCGCTCAACTTTTTCCTACATCATGTAACAATTTTGCTACCGAATAGCCAGCCAACCAATCAACCAACGCAATCAAATACATGCTTATTCTAGACAAACATGGTAAACTTGGTGTAGTCAATTAAAATCAATCAATTGAGTGAACGAATTTCTGTCTTCGAAATGTAAAATGAGGTTCGTTTACTAAAAGTACAAACATCTTCGAAATATGATTTAGTGAAGTAATACTATCTATAATTATCATTTTGTTTTTGATTGATTAGAGATTTGATTAATAAGGTATAGATATCTAGATATTTAGTCTAGATAGCTAGGTATTTAGATAGCTTGGTAGATAAATAAACAAATATCGGTATGCTTTATAGATTGTAGTGCTTCCTTCCAAAAGTACTTTTCCTCTATAGATAGTATTGCTACTAGTTGTATTGATATCCTCAGGTTCCCCACCAATCTATATAAACCAAACCTTAAAATATGGATCGATTCTTCAATTTCTTCTCCAACCTTATTCCACGAACAGGTTTCATATCACCCATGGTACTATTCTCGATCATGAAATGTTTATTTTCTTTGTTATACCACTTTATTCTGGAAATCGAAGACTTGTTATACACTTTCATTTCGAGCTATAGGGCTTAGTTGTGCACATTCAACTCACACAATAACGATACCATCCTTCAAATCATCTACACTCCTTGGTTGTCCAATGTCATTCTCGTCCATAGTGAAGGTCTACACTGGAGGTGGTTTGACCAGAGAAAGAAAAGAGAAAGCTAATCCAAGAGCTGGTATGCCAACGGTACATAAAGGTGCAAATCCACCGTTACGCCATGCTTCAAATTTTCGAACTTTGGCAGGCCGAATGGGGAAGAGGTTTCTTCGAGTGTAGAATTTTTACTTTTTCGTGCATCTTGTGGTTTTTTTGCCAAGCCAGCAGTTCCGATGAAGCTTAATTTAGTTTTCGTTCTCCTTATGACTGCCGCCTTTTTAATCCCATCAATCTCACACAAGTAGTCGCCTACACGAGCTGCTGACGGTCCAAGACCCATGTTTGCAAGTGCATCATTCGATACCGGCAAGTATCCGTCATATTTGTCCAAGAGGAATAAACGTGCTCCCTTGCCGGGGGCCGGTGGAAGAGGTTCAGACCTTTCTGACGATGAATGAAAAGACGAGTTGCGCAACAGAGACTCGTCTCCTATATCTCGATTAGTGGGTCTATCGAACGGGTAGGCATTCTCTCCTGGAAAATAATAACAAAACCAGGAAACATCAGAACCACATGTCGACACGATTTTGAGGCCAGTCTCATCCAAATCTTCTAGCAGTTCTAAGAAGAGGTCACTTTCTTCCTGAACGCTGGGCTGAAGTCTGCCTGGCAAATGATTCTGGATACTCAATCTCCAATCTGCAGTTTTCGAAAGTTCAGTCATGATTTGTACATACGAAGGTCCCAAATGTACAATTCGTCCCACCAAACGAGCCGGAACTTTCAACACTGTAGGGTTGCTAACTCCGAGATGTTGTTCAAGGCTTGACTTTTGAGGTATTTTCAAAAAGACGTCATCCGCAATTTCGTTCATTGTCGTTATATTAGGGCCGCCAAGAGAGTCCCGAACCAATTTACCAAACTTCAAAATATCACTCTGGTCAACTCGAGTATCGGAATTTCTAAAAATTACTGTATCCTTCCAGACTTCGTAGAGGGTTTTTCGATAATCCATAGGGAATCCAGCATAGCAATCTGTAGCCAAACCAACCAATCCATATACTTTATCTCTTGGCTCTTTACACAAAGCTTGACGATGGGTTGCCATTAGGTTTTGCAGCTTATGAGCACCATCATATTTGTTTCGTAATTGATAACAAAGGTTCCATGGAACCGTCTGAGATAATGCGTTTTCTTCCATTGTTTCTTGCGTGATCCATGCGGGGTATGGCCAGTCAAGAGTGATGGTTTCCACAAATCGTTGCCAGTCTATTAGTTCTTGTCCAAAAAAGATGATGAGTTTTCTGGCTTTTCCAATCTCTTGGATAATCCAAAGTCGCTTCCAATATTCATTTGAGCATACGACCATTAAGTAGTTGAATAATGATCGCTGATCTTTATATTGTTGAGTATGTCCTGATAGCTCAAACGGCGATATCTTCTCTGGGTCTGGCCAAGCTGTTGGAGGCGATGTATTCTCATCGTTTCTTAACCAAATTATCACAAGTTTGGCACGCTCATAGATATAAGGCATGATAGTCAATTGACGATTTCGCTCCGCAACATCGTCTTGATTTATACAGATAGCATCGACCCAGAGAACGTATTCTGTAGCACTTTGCTGCTGCAAGCAGATAAGTGCCTTGTATAAATTTTCTGTTACAAGAAAATACCGGTCATCAATAACAATGGGTTTTTGATTAGCTTCATTTCCCCATGTATAGGAAACAGCATTGTACTTTGGACGTCCCCCGAAATTTACATGTTTAAGAGAGCAACGAGGTTGCTGGGTAGAACTACCAGGTAATAAATGCAGAAGCTATAAACTCCTCATTAGCAATCATGATCCCGAAGGTTTTGGTCAACCACTTACTCGAGTTCCGTCTACGAGAGGGTCAAGGGGTTTGTAAAAAAATCGCTTCATTGTAATGGAAAGTAGAGTAATGAAACACAAAGGATGCTGACGGAAGAAAAGTAATGTAAAAGCAGTCGTCTTCCGTTCAAAAGAAGGCTGACACTTGTGTTGCGCAAATTAGGCACCGGGATCGATTCCGCCAAGCATGGGTGCATTAGAATATTGACCAATGAACGATGCAGGCATTAATTTTAAATTGACCTGTCGTCTATCCTTCCACAAAGTATAACAAGTAATCCAAAGCATTTTGACCATTTGGGATATCGTAATAGTTCGCCATGAACGCCATATTCCCTGTTTTTGATTCCATTACTCTTCATCCTCTTCTTCGCCCTCTTCTCCTTCCTCCTCAATAGGGGCCCTTCTCCTTTGCGAGGAAGCACCACTTCTCCGCTTCTCTCTCAAGTTATCTTCTGTTGATGTGACCGCTTTCTCTCCAACGTAATGCTTTCCATCCCACTCTGTTTCGCATTTCGGACACTTCTGATTAGGGCGTGATCTAAAATACGCAGGTTGACAGATCTTGTGTAGTCGCACATTACAATCTCTCCTCGAACACCTCATACCAACCGTAACGATTCCTTTACATGCTTCACAATTTTTTATGCGCTGCCACTCATCCGGATCGTCCGAGTCGTTATATGTATCGACAAGCCAGCTTCGAAGCTCTAGAATTGCACGGGGTGACAGAGAATAATATCCTCGATCGCTTCGTTCGAACCACCCTTGCGCTACCAGACCTTCCAACACCTTCTCGGCTTCTACTTTCCTTACGCCGTTATCTATTGTCTGCATGTCGGCGTCACCTATGCTCTGTCGACCGGAACCTCCAATAACTGATGAATGTATAGCCTGTGTACTGGTTATAGCCATGACCTCCTTTCCCTTGGTATTGTATGATTCAAACATAGCATCCAACAACCGCTTAATATAAAACATCTCTTCTGTTGTAAAAGTGGTCGCAATCTGCGTGAGGGGATCGCTGGTACTGTTGACAAGAGCCCAGATTTGTTCATTTGTTCGCTGATGCCTCATGCTTCTAATCTCGTAATCGAACGGCGAGAGAGCGTCAGCCGCTTTGGATATGTAGGAGTTCAAGTCATCCTTTGTGACATCATCTGCTGAAGTAACTCTTCCATCTATACGACAAATGTCAGTTTGAGAGGAAGAAGGTTAAAGAGGAATCTCTAATCACCATCTTGAACTGTGAAAATATGGGCAAGTAAATCTTTGCCTTCTTCTAGATTCAATGTGCCACGCGCTAATAATGCTTGAAGAAACGCGCGGTTCGTATCATCGTACTGTTCCGGAGCATTCTCCATGATTGATTCTTTTTGCAGATTTGCTTGCAATATTTTATGTCGTGGGATCAATTGTGAAGTGATAGTGTGATAGGGATAAAGATACCCTGTGCGGGGTGACGCGTTTGTGGTCGCGGAATAATTTTAGCGTGTTCAGCGTGTTGTTCTTCGGGATTTCGGGGCCCAAGCTCCCAGCAACAATTGTGTTTGTTTCTGGTATCAAACCACTCAATGCTCATCACCTTTTCCTAATCCCTTTTCACTCAGTTCATTGGGCTATATGGTTCATGCAGATTTCAGACTCGTTCTCTATCGAACATCTGCCATATTGTCAACGAAACGAGCTCGGGTCGCAAGGGGGCTTTTCTCCTTTACAATCTCATGTCCGATACATCTTCAACGCATGAGAAGATCAAAGTATAGTTTAAATGGCAGGTTTCGTTTACTTCAAAAATCCCTATGAGTTAGTCGTGCAATGTCTCAATCCAGCATATCTAGTTTAGAGTTTGATAGTGCGGCTCATATCGGACTGTCATTTGGTCCAGGAGTTCATACTCAATCTTTGAGACAGAGGTTCCTCAAGCCACACATGTTACCAATAGGGCAAGTAGCCTGTTTTACGATTCTTGATAGAGTTATTGGGAGATCGTTTTGATCTGTTGGATATTGAGAGACCAACTACGACTAACATCGTTCTATGCCTTCTGCTTGTCAAAACAAGTTTCACGTGTGGATTTGCATTTTATGGAACAGTCAAAAGAGCCTATCGAATTCTGCTTTGAGACGGGTTGTGCTGCTATCTGGTGTGCTAATTGTTCGATTCCCGGCAATATATTCCTCTGTGAAGCCTCACACCTTCAACGAGTTCTTGATGTTTAGATCCAGCCCCAGGTCTCCTAATTCTCCTCCGCCTTCACATCAACCAAGTTCTTGTCTGTGTGCTTGTTAGTCGTGCAAATCCTATTTTCACACTCACAGAATCTCTCACAGAAAGCAACATAATCCCTGATATTCTGAGCCTTGTCGAACGGAGTTGGGTAATACCAAGCTGCATTCTTCAACTCCGTTTCTGTACTTTGTCAGTTCTTTCCTGACTCATGAACAGGAAAGTTAGGTAGCTTACTGTCAAACGTGATGGTATAGTATGATGCATCACCCTTCCAAGGACAATGTGTACTATGGTCTGTCTTAGAGAGCATAGCTTGTTTCACCGAGCTGAATCATCAGTATTCATTTTTTAGACCAGGTACAATGCCCAACTTACGATGGTGGAAACTGTATTGTTAGCAATATGCCAGATCTTCGAAAATTAGGTACGTACATAAACATTTCCTTCTACAACTTCCCAGTTATCCGTCTCGGCAATGGTGCGGCCGTTGATTGTTGCGGTGGCTTTTCCTGACGGCATTGTTGTAATTCTTGTGCGATGATGTTCGTAAAGAGTTATGATGATATTTTGGTTGATGTTGAGTTTATGATAGTAAGATATATATTGGACAGTTTTAAGTGAGCTGCGAGATGGTTTGTAATAATGAGGGGTAGCTTGAATGGGTATTCCCCGCGTTTTGGATTAAGTAATCAACCTGATGCGGGGTTTATTCTTTTCCGATCCGACTACATTCTTAGGTAGTGCTTGAACGTTCAATCTAGCCTTGAATACCTAGGTAATGAATGTTATGAGCCTATTAGATTCGAGACGACATGATACAAGTTTTAATCCTACATTAAATTGCATACAGCCTCGCAACCAGCCTTGTGAATTGCATTCACATACCTATTTTAGTCATTTCGTCGCGTCATGTGATGAGAAAATGACTGGCCCTGGAGATATGTTTCCTCAGTCATGGTGAAGAAATCACCGTCGTTCCAGTCATTCTATGTCCGCCCCACAGTCATTATAGATATACCTTGTCATAATGCGCCGCCGTACTCGCACTCTAGTCATTTCAGGGCTACGGCTCTTGATACATCCTATTCTACAGTCATTTCGGGGCTATTCAGTCATACTGGAGCCATTATGGTACCTTTTACAGTCATTTGGCGTCTAGATAACCCATCAAAATGTGGTCAAATAGCTCCGGATATCCCCCTTTGCTGTAGCTTTTCTTTTCATCAACGATACTTCTCAGACATAAGCAAACCTTACCAGATCCCACGCAAACACAACGATTTCGCCATCGAAGCCCTACTCAACCCGCTTCTTTCCTCATATCTACACAATTCAGCTTCTCCAAACCTCATTATGTCTCAACATAACATCCCACACAGCAACACAGTTCGATACGTCAATAACCAAAATGTCCTTCCTACACCCCCGTCTGGGCCTGCCGAAGTAAAGCGACTGAAACAAGTAGATCGAGCTCGCCAAAAAAGCAAACTAGTTGACACAATAGTTCCTCTGTGCAGCCCACCCCCAGAGTTTCTTGTCACCGATGCATTCATGATCTTCTCCGAAGGATGGTGGAAATGTACATATGCCGGATGTCCCGTTGGTGCGCATGATCTCGGCGAAAGATTCTGTCCAATTTTCGTCAGCGATGGCAAATATCTGCCGGATGGACGGAAAGAGGGAGAACGAGATCCAATAGAACTTCAGGAGGGTTGGTGGTGTTGTCCTAACAGGAAATGCGAAATGAGATCTAGACGCCCATTGTGTGACGAGAAGCGCACATGTGGATGTGAGGACAACTATGGAAGGGATGCATTGATTAAGGAACGTGAGGAGATGCGTCCTACATCTTCGTCAGAGAATAATGTCGAGAAATGGATTGCGCAGTTGTCTGAGCTGTCAGCGGAGGAGGAAATTGACGTCATGGAAGGAGGATTAGAACCGGGTTTGGAGTATGCGTATGAGGTTCAAGAACCGACGAGTTCGGGTCCCGTGAAATTACTTTCGTTGAGGCTTCCTAGAAGACTTGGCGTATGGGAATTGTCGCTAAGAGATAAGCCTTCTGGCTCGAAGTGACCATGGCTGGGCGTAGGGCGTAAGGATTTCTTTTGTTTTGAGATATTTGGGGTTTGAGATCAGGCTAGAGGGATTTTAATTGGATAATTATGCGAGATTTTGAGTCAATAGACCTACCTTGAAAATTTAGATTTCATAATGATATTTTCCGAATATTTGGAAAATTTCGCAAAAGAATAGAATGTTCAAGATCTATTCGGACAATGAGATTTCTGCAGATGTGAATGTACCTTTTACTCTTGAACAATGGAATGTGCATGCTTCTCAATGTCTGAGTATAGCTGGGACAATCATACAGTCTTGAAATGTGATGTCTGATTGAGATTTGGACATTGTGTGTCGATTGCTAGACTTGAAGTCATACTTTGTTGTATCTCATCGCAGTTTTATAAAATGACAATCGAGATTGTCGGAATTTTAGTTAGATATTGAAGCTTCAATGATCAATTTGATTTCGTGCAATGAACCTCTAAAGATCCATTAGGCTAGGGACATTGAAACTTAATCATTAATATAAATTTGTACATTGGAACCTCATTCATCAATTCAAATTGGTAAATTGGGGTTTTAAATCATCAAGCGAGTTTGCTGCACTGAAATGATTTGCTTTATATCTCAACTGGGCGAAATATACTACAACAAGTTTATAAATCTATTTGAGCCCTTGCCACTAACACGGAAAACAGTCAGATAGATCAGCAGGAAACCTAGAACGCATCCCAAATCGTGCTCAGCCAAGTCTGTCAGGTTGAGCTCACTCGTATTCCTATAGCCTAGACGAATCAAATTGTTCCACAGCATTTCCAGAATCTCAAAGTATCTTTCCCTGGACCAAAAATGGCCAGCCAAATTTCTTCACCGAGGCAACATATTAGAATTGGAACATACGAAGTCTGTTCCATTGGTGGAAGTCTCTCCTGTATATCTTTGACGAGCTGCAAGCCTGAGCTCTCTGATTGGAGGTTATGCATATGGTATGCCAAGATATCCAGACAAGGTGTTCGAAGCTGCATGGCTATGTACAGAGCCACTATTTGCTTGGACTTCCTCATCTACTTTCCATGACCATACTTGATCTATTACGGATGCAAGCGAAAGAAAATCCAGGGGAGCATTGAATTTCATGCTTGACATAGACACGTGGAAAAGCAACATGCGAATACGATGGGTTGAGAAGTCAAGAGAGTAGAAGGAAATGGAGATGATGATGATAATGATACTTCCAGAACGATGAGGCCTTGCCACATTATATACTTCGTAGACACTTCGCTCAAAAAGCTGCTTACATACAGATGGCATGTCTGGTTGGAGGAAAGCTTTCAAGAATGACCTGAACCTCGCCCTTAGACAGCACTAGCACTCTCATTGTAGGTCTTCGTAAGATTGATATCAAGATCTAACGAAGCAGAAATTAATCGCTCATTTCTGATCGAGTATGGAGAGATGACGAAGCTGCATTGAAAATGCTGTATAGAATTGAATGTAATGAGTTTACTGTTTATAAAGCCCCTGTGACGCCCCTATGACGCTATTTCCCCAGCGTATAGTACTAAATACGATTAGTCGAATGGAAGCAAAATTGAGACTACGATCCTGTAAGCGGTGCAGCTCGATACAAATAATTCCCCTTTAAATAGTTGTAAGATTCTCCACTTAAAAAAGCCGACGGCCGAGAAGGATTATTTCCGGTCAATTCGATATAGCGAATTCAGCGAGATACCGAAAGGTGTGGCAGATGCCTCCATGCTGAAATTTTCAGCGTTCTTGCTCTGCATTTCGAAGCCTCTGAATCCCGTAGGTTATCTCGCTAACTTTTACAGAAACCAAAAGAATGATCGGCATTTATTGATATTGATCGATAACCTTAGCAATCTCCAAATCCCCGTCCCGAGTACTTCTGAGTCCTGAATCATTAGCGGACCACCTTCATTCGAACGTTTAACTGTCATGTTTCGATTCACGCGTAGCAATTGGTATTGTGACTGGTGTGATCACTTCGAGTCACACTGTCCCATTTCATTTGATTTGGAAATGCCAACATCTTCTTCATCTTCTTCGTCTTTCGTCATCTACATCTTTATCAGCACCCTTGCATCCAGGGATGGGTAACGGGTCGGGCAACCCGGGTACCTTAGGGTGTCTCAGGATATGTCCGGGTATACTCTACGGGTAGAATGCATACCCGAATATGCATACCCGGAGAAGCCAAAAACGCCGGGTAGGGTTCGGGTGTCCATCGCCATCTGCATTGCTACATGGTGAAAAGTCTTCTTCCAACCAATTTTGAAAGTATTTTGATTGCCAAGACGCACCTTCGGTGTTTTAACTGAGTTTGACATGAACAGGATCTCGCTCAGTCCTTTGCAGATGGATACCTTCTGACATGTTAGATGCCAATAGTATACCCTTAAACATCCGGGTTTTTCAGAGACGGAGATATTCAAAAATTCGTTTGTCCGAACCGTAGATCCCTCGTCCCTTTCTTCTCATCTTATCATTCTACCTTGGTGAGTCTTCTGAGGGGTGAAAACTAGCCGCAATTGATCAACGGCGCAATCTTTCATTCCCTTAGATATGGGTATGAACAGAGATATGTAATTATCCTTAAGGATGTTTTCGCAAATGAAGATCAAGTGATGATCGATTTGATGTTGTTGACTTAAAATCATTCTTTTATATGTGTAATTGTATTCGAGTGGTGAAATACGATCATGCTAGTTTCTCCGTTCACAGTGAGCCGAGCCCGGTTGAGAGATGCGGGGCAAATTCCGCTGCCCGGCTATCTGCAAAGTAGTGGGTGGGATATTTTCCCACAGTTGCTCTTATGCGTTTCGACATGTCAAAACAACGACTTCCACGCCCTTTAAAGACACTGTGGCGATAGTTTTATCTTCGAATAGCGAAAGATTCTTCCTTGGTCAAAGAAAGGTTTCGAAATTGCCAATCTTTATAACGGTGGCATTTTCCCATTCTTCTCGCTGTACATACATACATACCTACATACATATTTCCTGTCAATAAAAATGGATTCGAAGCAATTTAGAGAGGCGGCGACGTCAGCCATTGATGAGAGTAGGTCATTATTCTCCCGCCTGAAGTACTACATACTAACCAACGTAGTCATTCAATATTATGATAATATTCATGAGCGAAGAGTAGTTTCAAATGTCGAACCTGGTTACCTGAAGAAAATTCTTCCAGATGGTCCACCGCAAGAGGGTGAATCATGGGCAGAGATCCAGAAAGACATTGAAGCTAAAATTATGCCTGGTCTGACACATTGGTGAGTCTGACGTTTTTATTTGAGCGTTAAGATGAATACTGATATACCAAGGCAATCACCTAATTTCATGGCTTTCTTCCCCGCATCATCTACCTACCCTGGAATGCTCGGAGAGTTATACTCAGCAGCTTTGACTGCTCCTGCTTTCAATTGGATCTGTTCTCCCGCTATAACAGAATTGGAGACTGTTGTAATGGACTGGCTGGCGAAGCTTCTTAATCTCCCAGACTGTTATTTATCCTCAACTCATGGTGGTGGTGTCATTCAAGGATCCGCCTCGGAAGCTGTCGTCACTGTTATGGTCGCTGCTCGCGATAAATACCTCCGTGAAACCACTGCGGGTTTATCAGGTGTTGAACTCGAGGATGCGATCGCATACAAAAGGAGTAAGCTAGTTGCACTAGGAAGCACACAGGCACACAGCTCCACACAGAAAGCAGCGCAAATAGCGGGTGTTAGGTTTCGATCAATTCCTGTACTCGCATCTAATAATTTCGCCATGACGGGTGATGATCTAGAGAAAGTATTGAAAGAATGCAAATCTCAAGGATTGGAACCCTTCTATCTAACTTCGACTTTGGGAACAACAACTACATGCGCAGTTGATGACTTCGCATCTATCGCAACAGTACTTTCAAAATACGCACCTCCAGATGTTGCAGGCGAGATCTGGGTTCACGTTGATGCTGCTTATGCAGGTGCGGCTTTGGTTTGTCCTGAATACCATCACTTAACATCGTCTTTCCAACATTTCCATTCGTTCGATATGAACATGCACAAATGGCTTCTGACAAATTTCGACGCTTCTTGTCTATATGTCAAGAAACGCAAAGATTTGATCGACACACTCTCCATAACACCAAGTTATCTTCGCAACGAGTTTTCGGAGAGCGGACTCGTAACCGACTATCGGGACTGGCAAATTCCTCTCGGAAGACGCTTCCGAAGCTTGAAGATTTGGTTTGTCCTTAGAACCTACGGAGTCAAGGGCTTACAAGAACATATTCGAAGACACGTGAAGCTCGGGGAATTACTCGTCAGTCTGCTCAAGACACGAAAAGATCTGTTCAACATCGTTACAGGACCCAGTTTCGCCCTCACGGTTCTGAAGATTGTTCCTAAATCCACGGATGCGGGGACGGAAGCACAGAATAGTCTCACGAAAGAAGTATACGAGCTGATCAATAAGAGAGGCGAGATCTATCTCACAGCCGGTGTAGTGGGAGGTGCATATGTAATCCGAGTCGTGAGCGCGAATCCCAAGGCAGAGGAAAGTTTTGTTCGGAAAGCTTTTGAGATTTTAGTCGATACGACTGAGGAGGTGCGGGATGGAAAAGCGAGCAAACGGGGAACTCTCAATGGGGTTGTTATGAATGGGAAGGCGGAGGGTGTGGGGGAAGTGGCGGTTGTTAATGGGAATGGATTGCCAAACTAGACCTAGACGGAAAGAATGGGGATTACAGGTGGCGGAAGTAGATACCCTACGCAAAGGGATTATGACCCGCTCTGCGTGAGATCTCGTAGATTTATGAGAATGCAGATATTAGATAGAAGATATTTTAGATCATTCCACTTTTCAAAGCTGTGTGTAGGGACTTGGAAGAGGGTTTCGGATTCGGTGACTGCATATATGCCTTCTCAGCATCATGGTAACACGTTTCCAGAATTATGAACTTCAAAATTGTCTCACAAGTTCACAACACACCTAAATTCGTTCTAGAATTGGGGACCAAGCAAGCCGAGTGAATTTCTAACATATAGAAGTCATCTCAACATTTCCAACTAGCACACACTCACAAAAGTGATAATGATGAGAAGACATAGACAAATCATCATCGAGTGGATAATCTTTTCTTGATACATAATTATACATTTCAACTAATTTTTAAATTCATCCTCCTCATGGGAATCTTCCCATTTCGAACGCTCGTCGAAATCTATCTTCCTGACCAAACGATCTTTATCAACCGACACATCCGACTTCACCCTCTTGACCAACTTATCCAGATCAATTTTTTCCGACGAAAGTTGGGTTGTCTCTTTCAGATCAGCTTGAAGCAGCTGCATTCTTTCAAGACGTCGTGGCTCTCTGTCTTGCCATCTATGCTGTGATTTCTCATGCGATCTTTCCCTTCTCAGTCGTCTAATCTCTTCTCTGTCTGATATATCTACCCCAGTGCTGAGGATATTTGGATTTTTCTCTTCCTCAATTATCTCGCCTTCTTCGTTTAGCTTTTTAGGCATCTTTTGTTTAATCCAATCCTCATTTCCAGGGAATGATAAACCTTCTGCAATATATTCTTCATCTGGAACGATTTTGATGATTCGGATGTTAGATTTTCCACGGCGAAGAACAAGCATTGAACCGTCAATGATGTAGTGATGAGTATCCGAGTTTTTCCATGTTTTGATCGGGGTAAAAACTAAAGCATCATCCTTGCCTACATATCCCAAAGGCCTGGATCCACCAACATAAAGTCCGGAGGCACCGCACAAACGATTAGCTTCGGAAGCTGTGGCACACAGGCCAGCGGCGACGACAATTCTTGCAATACTTCGAGTCATGACAAATGAACGTGGTAGTTTAAGATCTGATTTTGGTCTGTTGGATGCGTTGATATTGCCTGTTTTTGTTTCGCTAGATGTTAGTGTGCCTTCGACGCTCTCCAAATCACGCTGCAATTCCTCCGCATTCGCCGAAGTACTAGATTTGCTGAAAAGAAGTCGATGTTTGAGCTCGGCCGCTTTGGCGTCAGGAAGTCCATGAATCAGCTCTAGAAAATCTCGTGCTAATGCATGTTGAGCTTTTCGAGTATGAGGCTCCTGCATGTGTTCCTCCATTATTTTATTGATTTGCTCAATGGGCATGAATGTGAAAAGTTTAAGGTATCTTTCTACATCCTGATCTGATGTGCGAAGAAAGTACGCATACAAATCGAACGAGCTCATCATATCCTTGTCTAGCCAAAGAGCATTTCCAGCACTTTTTCCAAACTTGGCTCCTGAAGATGTGGTTAAGAGAGGAACTGTAAATCCGAGAGGTGGTACCGCTTTTCGGTGTTGTTCCTTTACTACAGGATCAGGATGATTCGCTAAAATATATTTGACAGCATCAATGCCAGCTGTAATGTTGCCGTACTGATCAGAACCACCAATCTGCATTGTTATGCCTTTCGTATTGTACATATGCCACCAATCCCACGATTGCAATAAAGGATATGAAAACTCAGAATAGGACATGCCATCGCCATTATTCATCTTATTCTTGACACTATGAATGTTAGCCAGGTTTCAGCAGACGCGCAAAGGGAATGTACTTACGTATCCTTGGCAATCATCGCACCTATTCTCATGCCTGGGCCAAGAATTTGGAGAAACTCCATCACTGTCAATTTATTCATCCAGTGATGGTTATTCACCAGCCCTCTTCTCCATGCCCATTCCCACTGATATCCATATTTTCTTCCATATGCCTCGACGTTCAACCATATGCCTTTCAATTGATAATGCATCTTCAATATATTTTCATTCCTCGTTGTACTCTTCATTTTCTCTCGTGTCGTCAAACGATCAGTCGGGTCGCCGATTTTTGCAGTAGCTCCTCCAACCAACGAAACCGTGTGGTAACCATGTATGTACATCCAGAACAGGGACATGAAAGGTAGTAAATGGCCAACATGAAGTGAAGGCGCCGTAGGATCTACACCCACATACGCACCAAGCCGGTTTTCCGTCATCGCACGATCAAGTTCGTCTCTCGAACTAAAGCAAAAGTTAACGTCTCGCATCGAAGAAGCCAAGGAGGGGTACCTACCCAGTTATCTGATGTACATATCCTCGCTCCTCCAGAATTGAAAGCATGCTCTTCTTCTTCCCTGTCTTGATTTCCGCAGCATTCTTGGCCCACGCCACTTGCGCATCTGCCGCTTTCGCTAGATATTTCATTCCAATCCATCTTCTCGACGCTTTATTTGAATTTCGAGAGGCTCTGAAAGCGCATCTTGCGCAAACATAAGGGTCAGACCGAGCCGAATATCGAAGGAGAGAAGTGGTTGCCATCTTGTGTGACTAAAAGATAGAAGTATTTCACGAACACATGAATAATCTCGGAGAAAACAGAAAGGCCTCGCGACCGAGGGCTTCTACGACAATTATTCTGCTTCAACACCCATTTGCAATTCTTGCGGGCCAAAATAATTTTACGGCGATCCGGTATACGTTTATCCGGCCGCCAAGAAATTGATCAACCCGCCGCTAGTCAGGGGTCCTCCATCCGCGCCTGTGTTTATCTCCACGTGCTCTCTGGTGTCCACATTCAGAGGCACGGAAGAACAACCTCCATGATCCATCAGCAGCTAGTAGATTCGTACACTACAAGTTGGAATGGCATATACTGAGACCATTCATCCAACCACATTGTGTGGAAGAAAAAGAACAGATTCACACAGATAGTCACGGGTTTGAGAAGGAACTCTGTACCACAAATTAAAATCGATTCATTGACACTTCACACTTCACACTTCACTCCTTCTCCATCTGTTTAACTTGTTTGCCTCCGTTCTCTTGAGACTCTTAAATCTTCTATAACAATCCTATATGCTACTTCCTTCAACTCAAATTTACTACACAATACATCACATCGATTCCACCCTTTGAGTAAAAATGGCCGAAGGTCAGACATTCATCAGTGGAGCAGATGGCAATGAAGTCTTTCAAGCGAAGTATATTCCAAAACAAAAAGGCCCTCCCACTTCAGACCATCCGAGTTTGAAGGCGTACGTCTCAACTTATCCTCCTCTGGGTCAACTGACGACTGTTCCCGATCATACCAAAGTCGTTACAGCTTTACTAGAGGTTGATGAAAGTCGTGCCACAGAATCATGGGAAGTTTCACTCCTGTATAGCAGCAATGGAGACCAATGGGAGGAATCTCTTATGGAGTCTTTAGATAAGACAGATTCTCAACCAAAGGTTTTGCAAACAGTGGCACCTTTGGGACTGCATCAACTATACTTCAAAGCCTCTTTACCCGCTCGTCTCCCAACGAATTTCACGGTCAAATTCCGAAGCAACTCGAGCCAATCTTGGAAGCTCGTAAAAGACCACCAGGGAACGCCAGACGGGAGAATTGTCTTGAAAACGATCACTTCCCAGGAGAACATTTCAAGTAATTTATCCAATTATGTTCAGGATTTGAATACGTCACTAGAGGTCAAGAACTATCGAAGTCAATCCCCAGGTACTACTCTATGGTCAGTGCAGGTCCCAATTGAAGGAGCTGTTGGAAAAGAGTCTACTGTAAAGGACATTAAATTTGGGCTCCCTTGGGGCCAAGATAAATTGGCGAGGTTGGTCCGACCCTTCGTCATCACCTAATGTTAAACCCTTTTGCTAATACAGCTAGATGGTTTGCTTTGATTCGAATTTGGACACCCTGGCTAGCCCCCCGACAGGGAAAATCTCATTTTGAGCTTGATAAAGAGGCCGTAACTTGTTCTTTTTTGAGCTCGGATGGCAAGCATATTGTTTTACTAGCTATAAGCGGTATAAATAACGTCATGACTTTATTCAAAAGTAACAGTGATGGCAATGTTGTCTTGGAAGTATGTTAGAATTCTTCAAGACTCGACTATTACGATTCTAATTCAGACAGGTTCGAAATGATAATCCCAAGGAGTCTGTTGCTCATGTCCTTGTTGGGCTCGGAGACGACTTTGAGTCGGCCAACGCGGCAGTCATGTATCATGCTAGAGATGTCGTTGCGGCTCTCGAGAGTGAGTCTGGACAAACTCAAAAGGAGATCGAAGCGCTCGAAGAAGGGGACGAGAAAACAAAGGTTTGGGTTGAAAACTGGTGTGATGGCTTGACTTATTGTATACTCACTGACTCTCCTGACATAATTTAAATAATTTACTGACCAACTATACAGGCACATGGAATGCGCTTGGGCAACGACTAACCGAAGAAAAGATACTCAAAGCAGTCGATATTCTAGCAGAGAATAAAATCAACGTCACAAACTTTATCATTGACGATAATTGGCAGGCCATTGACTATAAAGGACATGGTCAATTCCAACACGGTTGGATTGAGTTTGAGGCAGAAAGAGAAGCATTTCCAAATGGCTTGAAACACACCATATCGCTCATCCGACAGAAACAGCCTAGTATTCAGCACGTTGCTGTATGGCACGCAATTCTGGGCTATTGGGGTGGGCTTGCCGCGGATGGCAAAATCGCTGAGACTTACAAGACAGTCGAAGTCATTCGCCAAGATTCCGAGAGACGAAACTTACCTTTGGGTGGTAAAATGACTGTGGTAGCCAAAGAAGATGTCCGGCAGTTCTACGACGACTTTTATTCGTTTCTTTCATCTTGTGGAGTTGATGCGGTCAAGACTGAGTAAGTGGGCCAAAACTTATTCATTTCTCGCTAACATGAATCAGTGCTCAATTTATGCTTGATCTCTTCGAGTCTGCCGAAGATCGTAGTGATCTTATATCCGCATATCAAGATGCGTGGACCCTTTCAACTCTTCGACACTTCAGTGTCAAAGCAATCTCTTGCATGTCACAAATTCCGCAAATTCTCTTTCATTCTCAATTACCCCAGAACAGACCTCCAATTCTCGTACGGAACTCTGATGACTTTTTCCCCGAAATTCCAACAAGTCACCCATGGCATGTTTTCACCAATGCCCACAATGCTTTGTTCACCCAGCATCTCAACCTAATCCCAGATTGGGACATGTTTCAGACCGTTCACGACTATTCTGGCTTCCATGCAGCTGCTAGATGTGTTAGCGGTGGTCCAATATACATTACAGATGTGCCAGGTCAACACGATCTCGACTCTTATTCAACCAAATGACTGGCCCTACTCCTCGAGGCAAAACTATCATTTTTAGACCTAGTGTCGTTGGTAAGAGTCTAGATCAATACAATGGGTACGACGATGATCAAATCCTCCCAATCGGAACATACCATGGCGCTGCGTACACAGGGACTGGTATAATTGGCTTCTTCAATGTATCTCAGAGACCACTTAGTGAATTGGTGCCATTGTCGAAGTTTCCTGGTGTTGAAGAGGCACAGTTTTATATCATCCGTGCCCATTCCAGTGGAGCTATCTCCCAGCCTATACAAGTTGTGGACCCTCAGGCTTTGATATACGTTTCTCTCGATGTTAGAGGATACGATATCTTATCAGCCTATCCTTTGCGCGGATTTGTTGATCAAAAAAATGATAATACTACATGGATAGCCAACTTAGGTCTCCTTGGTAAAATGGCCGGAGCTGCAGCGATTGTCGGCACCAAAATGACGAAATCAGAGAATGGCAAAATTTTGATTGACACAAATATCAAGGCTCTGGGAACTCTTGGTAAGTTCAACCCATTATCTTTTCCTTTTCCAGAAAAAATAAAAACCGGATTCTAATTTGATCTCCAGGAATCTATATCTCGACTCTTCCTGATGTATCATACGAAGACACGCTATTGGTCACCATCCTTGGTAAGGTTGTACCACTTCACACAGTCAGTATTAGCAAGACTGATCCCCACGTTCTTGAAATCGACACATTGGCGGCGTGGAAGGAACTTGAGCTTTCAGGTGGATGGAGTAATGAAGTGGAGGTAAAGATATACGTCAACTCTTCAGCATAGGCCTTACTTCCTCTGTCACATTCAATATTTGTTATGATGAAGGTCCTCTCTGGCCTTCGTTCAGATGGAACAACAATTCGCAACTGAGTCGTCTAGCTTGAGACTGAATGGCAAAGATAATTCATGGCTATGTAAACACTGATAGTCTCCGTGAACATTTTCAAGTCGCTTCTCTCAGTCGTAGTTTACATTTTACAATACACCAAGTAAGGTTATAGATCAATTTTCAAAAATAAGTTAACAATCTGGAATCAACAAAATTGCAAATAGTAGATTCAAACTTGCTGAATCGACAACTGACAGTCGATCTGATCTCGAAATAATATGCTAATGATTTTTCGTTCATTTATGAAAGATTGAATACCGATTTGGGGAATACCACGACTAACTGGAGCCGCGTGCTTGTGAGCATCACATGCACGTGAAGTGGTGTAACCAATCGAAGAAGGTGCAATGCTGTGCGAAAGACCCCACCTCTAACCACAACCACTATAGATAATTCGCAACTTATCTACTATGGGTATGATAAAAGACATATTCCTACTTACATTTCTGTTGGGCCTATCAAGTATCTTGTTGTACTATCCGTTTCAATTCGAACAGCAAGTGCTCAATTTGATGGCTGACGCACACAAAATGCCATCACCTCCCACTGTACCAACGGAAATTCGGCCAACGCCATTCATTGTCGAATCGCCGAAGCCGAATAAGAATACCCTTATTCTACTTCATGGTACATCATCTTGGGGAGTCCCGTTTGCCCAAGAGCTCATGGCGCTGGTTCACTTTGATGTATTACTTCCATACACTAAACTCACTTTTCCATCGGGAATCCTGCGAAAGACTACTGTTTTTGGTGGGAATTTGACCAACGCTTGGTTTGATATTGCCGATTTTTCAGACCGGACGATAGGGGAAGAACAGCAGAAGGAGGGGCTAAGAGAAAGCGTGGAGTATTTGGGCGAGCTCATTAAGGATGTAGTGGACAATGAATCTCATTACGAAGATCGCAAAGTCTTTGTAGGAGGGCTCAGTCAGGGATGTGCTATGAGCGTAATTTTGTTACTGAGTGGGGAATTGGATCGATTGGAGGTGTTGCAGAAGATTGGAGGATTTGTAGGGTTCAGTGGATGGTTGCCATTTGCGAAACAAATTACTGAAGTTGCTGCTGCTGGAAAAGGCTGGAGACAAAGGAGGATTCTTGTTCAGAGTTGGTTGAGACGCGAGTTGTGTCTCCCATCTTTGCGACCCCGAGATGATATGACGGTATCTACGGAAGGAGACATGAGGATCGTCTTAGCTCATGGTACAAATGACACGAAAGTCAAATTGGAGTGGGGTGAAGATATGAGAAGAGTATTGGAGAGTGTGGGATATAATGTTGAGTGGAAGCTCTACGAAGGTTTAGGACATGTCATTATCCCAGAGGAACTGAATTACATGGCGTCTTTCATAAGAAAATAGTTACCTGGCTGAGATACTGTCGCTTACCAGCCTTTCCACCAGGTCTGTTGCCTTGATTCAAAGTCCTCAGGGATAACCACCAACCTTCTAGCCGGCCAACACTTTTTGGCCCGCTATTTACCTGTTGTATGAGCTACATTAAGTCTATTCTTTTATTTCGTTCATTTCATTTTTATTATCAAACAACCGTCACTACCAGCTAGCCACAAAATACGATAATTTTACAAGAAAGTTTTCAAGATAACATCCAGTTCTATTCCACTAGAACAATTTACCACAGTCTCTGTAACCTCAAAAGCTATGAATGACGCTCCAGAGAACAATACCTCAGTGCCCATTCTCTGGGTATGTGTGCATGTTATTAAACAAGGAGAAGTTCACAAACCTTCTTAGACGCACCATGCAGACCACTTGAAATTTAGATGTAAAGTAGTTAGATTGTTGCAAATTGATATAGAATCATAATCACTCCTCCAAAGAATGATGAAATCTGTTTATGTGTTGTGCCTGTTTTGTTTCATAAACTAGGTATGTTGGGTTTCGGCTGTTTGGGGTTTACAGGCCCTAAAGACGAAAGCGGGGTATATCACACCCCGGAGCTGGATGTCTATGTAAATTTGAGAAGGTCTTTTCAAATAATTTATAAATCACAAAAGATACAATTAAACAATTCATGATTTGCCCATAAGATTTGATTTTCGAGTGTTAAGGGCAGATATTGGCTTTAGTATTAATTTTTAATGCTTTGATGTACTCGAAACGGTCAACTCGAAGTCTGATGAGGATCTCCTGCGAGGACGGTTACTATACAATACCAACCAACTCCTGATAGCTCAGGAGAGCTCACCAGGAAAATCCAAGAAGAGTTACGTTCAAATTGTTTATTTTGTTTGAGTGGTGCCTATAGTGGGCTACAGTGGTATATAATTTTCCTCGGGCCTTTCTTTCAATCACTGCCTGTTGTTCGGTTGGTACGGGAAGGTGGAGCATTCAGGATTGTTGGTGGTATCTTGCTGCCTTCGAGTTTTACCTTTGACTCGATATCCTATAAAGCCTTCAAGGTTTCTAGTGTAGTCTAGTATTAAATCGGTATTGCAATATTCCATATCTTCATCATTGTTTCGAACCGCCCTTCACAATAATAACCTCATATATATCATTGTCAAATCATCATCACAGTATCAAGTCATTATGTACAGGACGAAGAAAGAAGATTGCAGAAAACAGAGCTTTTTGGTGTAGTTGGAAAGATGACCCTTTCGTTATTTTCACACTTGCAGAAGATGAAGCAATAGCTTTCCAGAAAAATAACACAATGAAAACAATTCTATACAAAGACATTGGAAGCGCGAATTGGAGAGAGTTAGGGACATTCTATGACGACTTTGAACCAAAGCTTTTCCAATATAAAGCTGGAATAATGATGGATAGAGATAAAGACAGAGGAGATAAAAAGAAAAGAACCGTAAGATATTATTTACACTACTTCCGCAGTAGTTATAATTTACTAAGTACACATATATTTTAGGCAATGGAGATGACTAAAGACTTCATAGACTTTCTCATCATGGATCAAACTTTGGGATTTAGAGGAAACGGTTGCTCTATTGCTATCCTAAATGCTTATGCTACTAGGTCCTCATATGAAAAGAAATTGGATAATCTCAAAAGAAGTGTAAAGAAAGAGCATGCTTCTAAAGCCGTGGATAAGATGAGAGACTCAATCGACTCCCTTGTGGGTCATATAAATGAAGAAAATGCCAAAATTAAGAAATACAAGGAAGATTATGTAAAAGAGAAAAAGGAACAAGAAGAAGCCAGGAAGAAGAAGGCAGAAGAAAAAAGAAAGAAAAAGGAACGAGATGATGCTGCAGAGATTGAGAGAAGAAAAGCAGGTATTGAACAGTTCAATACTTCGGTCACTGCGGACCGAAGCAGGGATATGAAGCGGGCCAAGGAGAGTGCCATGTACCATCTCAGAGATGAAAGCCCAACGAGGCAAAAGCCAAAAAAATGATAGAAGGAGACCCTAGGCGCTATCATTTACAACTATCTCTCCGCTCCTGAGAAGAAAAGGCGAGGAGCTCGTTGAAGGTAAACACGAGTGGAGTTAGGCGTCTATGTTATTTTGGAATTTATAATTATTAGACTTATCAGCTTGCTGGTGCCAATTTCTGTCGAGATGTTACAGTGACGAGCAAGTTTATCTCTTTTAAATGCTAGGATTTTCAACAAAGATATACCTACATATCTTCTAGTCATGCTCATAAGTTCGAGTAAGCGATCATTACAGTCAATATCTTTGACTCCTACAGTGAGCTATCAAACCAAGGATTATTTTTTGTATTACGAGGTAATGTGATCACTTGATTGTAAAACTTCTTAATTCAGAAGAATCTCGTCTCATGATACATTAAAAATTGTAATGGAGATCGTTAGACTAAAAATATACTCACCGAAAAATCGGCATTCGCCCCTACAATGAATTCGCTTAATCGCCCTTGGTTCAATCCCGTTGTTGATGATGAGTATTTAGTCTTGCTACGAAGAACCAGACTTTTGAGGGTTCTATATTAGTATAAGATGATATCAGACTGCTTCTCCACTTTGAATTTCAGTGGCCTCTGATCTCGACTTCCTGATTCTGTATCGTGGTAGTTGTTTCTTTTTCGAGGTTTTCGGAGAAATGGGAGTTCAAGCATTGATTCGACCCGAAATAGCAGTGACGAATCTGCTTTATTCAGCAATGCAATTGTTAGTACAGTTCGTGAATACTAATTCTTACAATGCTGACCTCTGATGATGCACTTTTTATTGTTCTCCTTGACAGTCATAATTAAATTTCGATCCGGAAACAGAAATCTCGAACCGCTTGAAACAAACATTCAATAAACAATAGAAAATCTACCAACCATCAGCACCCTTCACAGACGCTACCATGTCAGAATCAGAATCCGACGTTTCTAACCCACTTTACAACAGAGCCCATGAAGATTATCTCTTTTACGGTCGAGAATTAATCCCCCATTTCCCGTACCGGGCCTATCATCTAAACATCCTAAGATATCCTTTACCAAATGGAAGATTCGAACAGGATAATCACCTACCTGCATTGTGAGCTGCTTTAAGCCCGGTTGAGATTTCTGCTGACAGTGAGAAGCTTCCTCTATAGACTCAGAAAGATGTTTCCAGAGGTTATTACAACAGTCTTTTCACATATCATTGAGGAACCGTCGATTGATCCAGCCGTAGAAACCGATATCGAAGGAAGTAGCTTTATTCCAGATCTAGTTTTATTATCCAGACGAGTCCATGGCCATCCAGTTAGCGATGATGAAGGAGGAGGTGGACCGATAACGTCATATCCAATACCAATCACTGCTCTTTTATTCCGAGAGGAAACACAAGCGATCTATACACCCACTACAGGAGTAGATTCACAAGCCTGGAAAATTCAGAATACGAAAGACTGGAGAGATCATAGAAGCACACAACGAATTCTGGAGAGGAGTGTTTGTAGCAATCCATCAGAGGGTACTTATAGCCAGTTGGTCCAGTTCGCCTACTCTTTGGCGCTCCACGAGAAGTTCCAAATCGGCTACGATAGCTGCATGTGGTGGTCTCCTCTTGTGAGAAAACATAGTCTTCTAAAGCAATTTCTGAGGTGGTTTTGGAGCCACTTTGGTCTATACATAAATACGTGTAATTGGAATTGGTATCCAAAGGTAATGATCCCAAAAGTTCCAAAATAGCATCAGGATGGACGACTTAAGCTATTCAATGGGATTTAGAAAATAAAATCTCGTAATAGTTGGGCTGCAGTCTAAATGATTCGGAGCTCTTCAATTGTCAGATAGGGTTGGAACTCGCTAACAACATGTACAGTTCTTCTCAGTCTATAACCTCCTACAATACCATAGATTAGAGCACCTTACTCTTCGATTTTCTACCAAGACGATCAACCTCAAAGATGGAGATATGCACATGAATATGCGTCAATTCATTGACAGTTTGTCAGATAAGCGCTGCGGCGTAAAAGGCTGCAAAGGAAATATCTGCGGGAAAAAATACTGTGGAGACCACTCATGGTTTCCCAATCTTCGGAATATCACGTATCTCAATAGAAATCACCACACGGAAGGTACTGCAGAAGCTCGCTGTGATCCAATGAGAACTGGCTGGTCAAGACGCTTGGTCAAATATTTTCAAGACGTTAAACTTTCGAAGTCTATTGAGGTGATCTTTGATGTCTATGGCGATGCTGATGAAGAGAGCTGTGATAGTGATGGAGAGTCCGGTAGCGATTGGAATGAGGATCTCTATAAGAACTATGATCCTAAAGATTATCATTATGAGAGTAATGATACGGATACGCCCGTTCTTTTGCATAATCGCCAGTTGGCAGTACAGGATTGTATTCGTCGTCTCCTGATGCCAAATTCTTTGCTAAAGGGAAACACGGATGACTTACCTGAAGATTTGGGGCTCCAGGAATTGTTTCAAGATACTGATATTTGAAAGGGGGAGTGTTCATTGTTTACACAATGTCAAAGATTTGGGGTTTAGGATGCGAACCAATTAAGAATACATCGTTAGAAGTACGTTCATCTTCTAAAAATGAGAAGTATGAGGCAGTGGAATGGCAAAACAGGAATCACAGGATGCTAAATAAGAAAACATAAGAATACTTAGTACTCTCAATTATTCCATAATTAGTGAATGAAAGAGGGTCGAATATCACATCAACGAGACATGTGCTGAATGCCATCTGAGGTATATATCCTTGTACCTTTCATTCAATATGTGTACTACGTCTGGCAATCAAGAATCCACTTGGACTTGTCCTTTCCCAAAAGAAAGTATAGAGTATCTGCTCTCTCTCTCCGCACTCTATCCTGTGAATATACATAATTTCTTAACTTATTACTCACATCATTGGTTTCGTGAATTGCATATAGACCACGGGCTTGTATAGTGCGGTTCATTGCAGGTGAGAACCCATCTATATCGTTGGAAAAAGATCATTCAATAATTGATAGATCCCAATATCTTAACATCTACTGTCCAAATGCGAGAAGCGCTCTTGACTAAATCCCAACATTCCGCATACTAGCTACTTTTCCTCCATAGCGAACATTTCGCGAATCCCCAGATGATCCGGTACATCATCCGTAGTTCCATAACGCAAGCATTCTGGCATCAACAACTGTCTCAATCTCTTCCGATACACAGCATGGCAAATCGGTCCTTTCGGAAACATCCCATTCAATATCTGAAACCGCACATCAAAGTATTCCGCAAAAGTGATTTCTCTTAACGCATTTGCCCACCTATAAGCACCGGGACTGTGTATCAAATCTGCCAAATCTGTATCCCCTATTTGTAGGAATACGGTGAGCGATTCGATGTTGGGAAAATTGTGCAATTCTCCGAGGAAAAGCTTTACGCGACGGCCGTCGACATATTTTCGGGTGTGGATGAGCGGCTCCATGACGAGGATGTCGAGAGAGATGTTTTGAAGATAGCGAAATTTTGCATGGTTAACTTTTGACCATGCGAAACTAGTCTAGAGTTTTGCAAGTATTAGCAAGTGTTTCTTGTCGTGGGAGAATCATGTAGATATACCTCCAGTTCATTGGTAAAGTTTACACCAAACTTTTTCCAAAACCATGCTAAGAATTCCCTCAACAGGCTTGATCCCCTGATCTCGCTCTTCCAAATGCCGGCATTGCTGTCGACTGAATCTTTCTCAAAGTAGAAGCCTTCCGAATGCGCTAGAGAGGCAGCAAATTTGATGAAATCGACATAAGACCGAGCAAAGCAATTTGGATAGTCATTCTCGATATAAACGATGCCCATTGTCTTTTCCTTGTCTTTACTGCAAGTTATGTCTGTGTGCACCGCGAAAGATCTCTCGAAACACTTGTTATTTGGCGGAATATCTACCTGCGCATCTTGGATTTCAAGACATTCATCCTCGTTGAAAGTTCCTATGCTGGTAACTTGAATGGAGTACTTGACGGGGGCAAATTCTAGCTCATTGTAGAGAGTAGAGTAATCTTGCATAAGATAGGGACTTTTTTTGACATGCGCAAATGAGTCTAAATCGTCGTCTTCCGCTACTCTCTTGGTTGGTATTTGAGCAAAAATATTTGTACGGATTTCCGGTGGTGCACGCTTTATAAAATCGAGGAACCTACCCAAAGTCAGTGAACCGAAAGTCAGCTTCAACGTGCTGTTCAACGTACCTCTTAGTCACATTGTGAGGCAATGTATTAGGAGTATCTGAATTGTCTTGGATCGCGGAAGCACCTTGGAACTCCCAAAATGGAAAGCCAGGAATCAACACGAGACTTCGGAAATAATAATCCTGGTCTTATGCGTCCCGGGGAAGAGCCTTTTGCTTGTCTAACATGATAACATCCTCATCTATAAAATCTGGCTTGTATGCCACAGTACAAAGAAGATCATACATATCTAGCTCAAAGTAGCATGCAGTCTTGTGAGTCACAGGGTCCCGAAAATCATAAGTGAGCCCGACTAATGGATTCATTTCGAAGACGGGGACTATATCTCAACCTTTGGAAGTTTTTTGTTGTTGTTTCCTTTGAAATGAAAGTTTCTGTTTTTCGTATTTGTGATAATACGCGCGACATATATTCACTTTCGCTTGACGTGTTAAATTTGATTGACTACCTATGTATTGAGTGGCGATAAGAGAAGGTGAATATCTGATTCTGTTAGCAACATCAAACACCTGGAGCATATTACAATGGCTCACAATCAGTATCGAGGGCTCGGCGTAGTCCCAAGTAGTGTCAATGTTAAAACATGTGGTATCATTGGTATTTTCCTATTCCAAGTTGCTTTGATTCTCTAATTTTGCAAAGGCTTGCCCATGCCTCCGTATGTGACCACCTTAATTGTTTGATATTCTGCGATTCCATATTTACTTCCTTCACGTCCAAATCCTGACTCCTTAACACCACCAAATGGCGATGCTACATCACTGATCAATCCAGTGTTGACACCAACCATTCCGAGTTCTAACTCTTCTGAGATCCTAGTGGCTCTCTCAACATCTTTAGTGAAGAAATATCCTGCCAAGCCGACATCAGCAGAATTTGCAATTCGTACGACTTCCTCTTCAGTATCGAATTTAAGAAGACCTGCTACAGGTCCGAAAGTTTCCTCGTTTGCGATGTCCATATCTGTAGTAACGCCAGTGATGACAGTGGGCTGGAAAAAGTTTGCTCCAAGCTCGGGGATCTTCTGTCCACCTTGAATAACCTTTCCTCCTTTCTTCTCTGCATCTCGAACATGAGCTTCAACCTTGTCAACCGCGCGGCCGTGAATAACTGGTCCATGTGTAATTCCATCAGAGAAACCACCTCCAACCTTGAAGTCCTTGACCTTTGCTGCAAATTTCTCGGCGAAGGCGTCATAGATTCCAGATTGCACAAAAATTCTGTTAGCACAAACACAAGTTTGTCCAGAGGAACGGAATTTGCATGCAATAGCACCAGTTACTGCAAGGTCGAGGTCTGCATCATCAAATACAATGAATGGAGCATTTCCACCAAGCTCAAAAGATAGCTTCTTCAATGTCGAAGATGATTGCTTCATCAAAATCTTACCCACACCAGTAGATCCGGTGAAGGAAACTTTCTTGATGATTGGGGAAGTAGTGAGAAGCTCCCCAACAGCAGGGGTATTATCAAGAGAGCTGACAAAGTTTACTACACCCTTGGGAATTCCAGCCCGGTGTGCAAGTTCGGCAAGAGCGAGAGAGGTGAAAGGTGTTTCCCCGGGAGACTTTGCAACAACTGTGCAACCAGCTGCCAATGCAGGGGCGATCTTTCTCGTTATCATAGCAGCTGGGAAATTCCATCTAGACAGAATTAGCATTGTGCAATCATCGGAGTGCAGGATAAACGTACGGGGTGATAAGTCCAACGACACCAACAGGCTCCTTCAAGGTAATGACTCTATTTCCAGGAGTCGATGATGGAATAACGTCTCCATAGTTTCTGGGAGCCTCTTCGCTGAACCATTCCAAGAAGTTGGCTGCGTATGTTGTCTCTCCTTTTGCATCCGCCAATGGCTTTCCATTCTCCCATGTTATGAGCCTAGCAAGATCCTCACTGTTCTCAATCTGTATAACATTAATCAACAATCATCCTGTATGTTGCTTTCCATTGTTTGTTCTTCTAGCATACCATCAAATCGTACCACTTTCGTAATAGCTTGGCTCTTTCTCTTCCGGTTGTAGTCTTAAATGAAGGGAATGCTGCGGCAGCGGCATCGATTGCCTTCTTCGTATCAGCTACATCAAACTCTGGGGCATTTCCGATCAATTTTCCAGTCGATGGATCTTCAGAGTGAATAGATTAGCATCTTTGCTCAGCATCGACTCTTAATGTATCTGCAAAACATACCATGAACGTCGAATGTCTTTCCGGAAGCTGCCTTGACCCATTCTCCATTGACGTACGCAACTCCGGTTTTGAAGAGCGATGGGTCATTGAGTTTTGGGACTGTGTGCGACATATTGGAAGCCTTTCGTAAGTTTATTATTGGTAAAGTAGACGGTTGAAAACGTGAACGTGGTAGTATTCTTGCTGTTGATCTTATTATGTTGTTCATGTTGAGAGAGGGGGTGCCAAGCTGGGGGCTTTTATTATAACAATTCCAGATTCGAGCACTAACGTCACCATGGAATAACAGTTGGCTGTTGCTGACAATTGAGGCGTAGGAGAGACAAATATTGGTTTAGGGGAATAGAAAGAAAATCTTTATTAGACCCGATTGAAAATGCACCGGAATTGAAACAATTTGAGTAACTGGAGTTACGGAGAGCTTAATGGAATCATGGAGCTCACGATAGGGCGTTCGTTTATCGGATTTATCGTGAGATGAGTGAAACTTTGATAAGCTTCGCCGCGGGGCTGTTACTAAACCTAACTCAGGTGATAGCACATTCAATATTTGTAATTGGGAAAGTTGTACATTGTCATCAAAACGAGTCAAAACAGGCGAGAGACAAAGGTGTGAAGAGGGTAGAATACATTTTTACATAATTGTATCATCCAGTACGTATATGATTATATTCTGAATTATATAACGATACATACAAAGATATAATCAGATATCGTCTGAAAAGATATCAGTGTTCTCTCAAGATCTAAAGGAGGGCTAGGGCTAGATATATCGATTCATCCATCCGACTGCTAATCGTAGGTCTACGATTCCCTTGTTATTCATTAGGATTGGTGGAAAGAGAGGGAGGGAGTAACTATGAATGACATGGACTCTACACCGAGAATACTACCTCGGTGCCCCTATTATGTATATACGTAGTATGCATCATGCTATGTATATAGCACGTCAGCCAGCACCCCTAGACCTTGTTTGCGTATACTCGTTCCCCGACTTCCCCGCGTCGGCAATTATTGGGCAATCAAGACGAACAACGTCAACGTCAAACTCAATTCAATTGATATGCAAGTAGCAATTTATCTAGCTTCGTTCGTCAGAGGTACTTCGATTTCCGGTATGATATACTGCGAGTACAACGTAGGATATGCACTTGCTATGCGTAGCAATGAGATATCGGGAAAGAACCAGAGATCTGCAATGTACGGACTGTGAATTGATTACTTAAACTTCGTTGACGTTCTCTCTTGTCATCCCTCTCTTCATCGAATATACTATTAGTTGTTCTCTTTTACCACTTGATGTTTCGGAGATAGAACATCACTAGATCCTTAGTACTTACAAAATGGCCCGCATCACTGGAGTCATCCTTCTAAGCCTTGTGCAAGCAATTCATGCTCAAAGTAGCTTCACTGTTGCAAGGACCGCCCCAGCAAACGCCGGTACCCCACTTCCGGCCTTCATAAGCTACTCTATCGAGTTTTGTTTCTTCCCGGATTACGCTGGTACGTTAGAGGCTCAAAGACACATTGCTTGGCTCATATGCTCACATATTCAGGAAATAACTCGAGTCCCAATACCTTTTCAGAAAATTTGCTTAACAATCTTGGAAATTTTCAAGGTACTAAACCGCATATTCGGGTTGGGGGAAACACTCAGGATTATGCTCTTTACAATGCAAGTCTTCCATATGCTGTGAATGGTACTATCAATCCAGCAAAGGCTACAGACTATCCAACCACGGTTTATTTTGGCCCATCCTTTTTTGAGTCTTACAGTACTTGGCCGGATGTCAAATTTAGTCATGGATTCAATTTGGGTCTGGGTGCGAATAATTCTGCTGGATGGCAAACTCTACTAGACACAATCCCCTTGGCATGCAAAGCTTTAGAGGGCGGGAAGCTTCTCATGTGGGAATATGGAAATGAACCAGATTTATTTTCCACCTCTGCACAAGGGCCAGTTCGACCTCCTACCTGGAATGAATCAACATACGTAAGGCAGTGGTTGAATGGCAGTCGACAGATCAAGGAAGGCGTGGCAGCAGCTTGTCCTGACTTGGCCTCCTATGGATTCTTAGCACCCTCTTTTGCTGGTGTTGAAAATCATCTCGATCCTGTCACCACGTGGAACGATGGATTAGATGTGGATAAAGACATTGAATTGATATCATCACACAAGTATGGTCCCATTCACGATATTACATTTCGAATACTAACAGAACCATCAAAGTTATATTGGTGGTGCGACGCAACCAGGTGTAACACTTCAAGGAACCCTGATGAATCACACATCAACTGTAGTGTCTGTGGCCCGACAGCTGAACGTATCTAATATTCTCGCTTCATCTGACGTACCCTTCATCCTCGGAGAGACTAATTCTCTTTACAACGAAGGCGCGCCAGGGTTGTCAAATGCATATGGTGCTGCTCTAGTACGTCCTTTCTGTGGTCGATCTTCATCTCATCATATTAACTTCTATATAGTGGAACTTGGACTTTGCTCTATACGGTGCAAGTAAGAGCATTCGTCGCATCCAGTATGTACTTCCTAGCAATCAATTTTCACGAATCTCATATTAAACTTTCATCCAGTTTCCACACGGGACTCTCATTCCGCTACCAGGCTTGGCAACCCCAGGACACGGATGTTGTCCCAAAGGGTACCAAGCCACCATACTACGGTAACATTGCCGCTGCTGCCTTCCTATCCAATCTTACCGCTGCCACCACAACCATAGCCGAAATCCCACTCTCAAACGCACTGGAATCGGCTTATGCTGCATATGTCAATGGTGCCCTCAAGCGCATCATAATTATCAACATGCATCAATACAACTATACTGTAAACGGAACCTCTACAGTTCTAAATCCAGTCCCGCGTCCAATCAGAAATTACACAATCACAATCCCAGCCAATACCACAGCCGGACCCTCGGGTCACCATGCACCAGCTGCGCTGCCAAAGTTAGCAAAATTGAGAGCCCTTCATGCAAATGGCAGTGATGCAATAACCGGTATCACGTACGATGGATATTCCTACAATTATGAACTCGATAACGGTAAACCTGTACGATTGCACAATGTGACGGTTGGACATACGGTTAAGATCGTGGACAGGAAAATCACCGTACCAGTTGAAGATTCGGGGGCGGTAACGGTTGATTTTGGAGCATAGTGTGTGATTATGATTCTCGATAATGTATACGAGGGCATGTATAAATTAAACCGCCTAGCTAGTTTCTTCCTATTTTGCAATTGAAATGTACGAAAATGAAGCCTTTATGGACCTCATCTCCTTATATTCGTTGAGGCGATATGAGACTTTTCCAGATGTTCAAAATATGTAAAGAGACCAGCAGTTTCTCTGCTTCCCCCCCCCCCCCCCCCCCTGGGAAAATGCTAATGCTGAAAATCTCGTTCTTTGTGATCAGGCGAAATTTGCTATTGATCGTTGTTGCTAATGAATCAGTAAAGACCTTCATGGCTATGATCTGGGAATCATCCATTTTCTTGTGCTTTTGTTTGAACAACTATATTTTAACCCCACTTGCCGATACATCTCTCCTCTTCTTCGCCTCTAGAACATTCGAGCAATGCAACTCAGGGCTGTATACGACAGAAAGATCGGATGTATTATAAAGACACTTGATTGTCATGCAGGAAATTGTTCAACTACAAAAGACCCAAAATCGAACTAAATGATTCTTTGTTTTGACGGGTTGGAAGCCTTGAGATGGCTCTTTGCATCGTTGACTTATCGACAAGCTATACCGTGCCATTTCATACGATAAAGTCGGAGATCACATCTGAACCGTTTGACTTGAATCCCAGCAATCATTTTGGGAAACCGTCTCTGCTTCTTAGGACTAGGGATTATAGCCAACAAGCTACAGCTCCGAGATACGGCAATGTTGACGGGTTGTCAGAATTCGTACGGTCGTCGCTCCATATATTAGCCCCCGCTTGAACCCAGCCAGCTCTAGGAATAACATCATCGCTTTTCATCGACATGCTCAATCTTATAAGACCGCACCAATCATCTCGCAAAAGTCTATGCGACATCTTTCCCTTTTCCACACATAAAAGATCTTCAACACCACCAAGTATCGAGAAAGAATCGCCATCGGTACAACCAAGTATGTCTTCAGACTCGTCCAGAAAGAGCTCTATGAGTCATTGGTCGAGTATAGAACGTCAAAGACAACGACAGTTGTCTTTTCAAGAAGAAAGAACACCCTACATGACAGCCTCAATTTCAAGTCCGACAAACTTCTCAGGACCGGCTATCCAGGTGCAAGCTGATCGATTACGAACCCAAGCACACAGCACCCCCTCGATGGACTTTGGCCCCTACGAAGATAGTAACGTTAAAGACCGTAGAAAGCTTCCTTTCGAAGTTCAGTGGAGCATATCTTTCCGAATGTTCAGAACACTTGAGAATGCCATATTCGATTTCACAAAGAAGTGGGCACCTAACGCTCTGGCGATGAACGACTTCATTTCGGGGAAGAAGGTAGAGCTCAATTTCTGGGAGCGATTCCTAGCAACACCTATCGTTAACCCGATCGCATTCGAGAACCAGGGCAGTATCCCGCGATTTCATCAACTGCTGGATAGATTGAAAGAGATCCGACACACTTTTGTTCACAGAAAGGAGCCACCAGTTCTTTACCTTGAGCGCATGCTTGCAGGTGGCATAGAATTAACCACGATGATCGGAGATGAGACCCGTGCACACAAACTGGATCAGATATATCAAATGGTTCACTATATGGCTAGCCTTCTGAGGGATCAGATATCGAATGAGACAAAGACAATACTCGAGGACCGACTTCAGGCTGGTAGACAGGCGCAGGACATGTCTATTGACTGGCTAGAGACCAATAGGCTCAAGAAAGAGGAAATCGAAATCAAGAGAGATTTAATTCATGACACGGCGGGCTTTGAAGCGTTGTATGCCAATACATTGCAAGCTTTGGAGGAGATGATGCAACCTCTGACAGATACTCTTACTGACGACTAATTTCATAATCCGAGATTGTTGTGCTAAGTCGAGTGATATTACTAGTATCTTTAGCTAAGCCTGAAGCTCGAAGTCTTCGTCTTCTCCGACGTTCTATCGCGTGTCGGATGGTACGGAGATGATTGGTATCTGTCAGTATTCTGAGACAGTAGAACCTTAATTTGGACCCCAATTTTGTGAGTCTTTCTCTTGGTTAGTGTAATGGATTGATTTATTCCATTTTGACAGGTGTTTCAAGAAATCCCTCCTTTCACTTTCTTTGAAGGGAATGTGGGAGTCATGCATAACAAATGAGGGTTTTGCAACGCTCAGAAGATGGCAGAGTGATAAATCCACAATACACGCAATACTCCCGTTTCATTAACTTTGTTTTATGATGCATACAAATTGACTCGTGAACTCGTGTACATGTAAATGCACTTCTCCGCAATTTATAATTATAACATATTAATGCTTGACAAACTATTGACCATCTGCCATCGGCTTTGGATACGTATCTAAAAGTGCGAGTTCTGAGTAATTGATACTGGAAAATGTATGTATGAGCAAGAAAAGTGTAGAATTGTGAGATCAAGATGAGCCTGCAACCATCTAAGTTGTCCACGTTGTTGGTACTAGTAAGGTAGTTGGATCAGGTGCAAGATCCATGGCTTCCTTAGTGGATATATTAGTAATTTCTCATTTGAGCCGGTGGTAAACGGAGAACAAGGTTTCAGGGTCGGTGAGGGAAGCACGGTTTCGTTGTTGATGCAAGGTACGTACCTACATGATACATGCTAACTCGGCCCCAGATTTTGGATGTGAGGGCTGACATATTGTCAACTAATTGGAATATGAGAACGAGAGCACCTTTTTATCATTAGGCTCTTTTCCTATCGCCATGCAGTGGAAACGAGGGATGACTAGAAGATATTGTCTGTCAGCACTGTAAAGTAACTAACTCATGGTAAGTCTCGCTATGATATCAATGTGTACGGAGTGACGAAATACATATAAAAATGACTCAATGCGGGATTTGAAAACTCTGTAAAGAGAAAAAAGGGGCAAGGAAGATGATCAACAACAAGGAAAGGAAACGTTCCGTCTGGGGGTGTGATGTTATCTAAGCCATCCAGGTAGATTTAGTCTCATCCCAAATAGTACGGGATTTGGTAACAAAAAAGGTGTATTTTTGGTATTAATTTATAATGCCCAGGTGGTTTAAAGAGCAAGACGGACTCAAGGGGTCTCGGAAGTCTTTGTTAATGGAATAAAAATCACGTGCATTGGAAACATTTATCATTCTAGGTGCGGGATGCCAAGACGCTAACCCCGCCTTTTTATAAATCGTGCTTTCTCTTTTAACCTTTTCTGGGGAAATCACCAATCGCTTTAACTCGTGATTTCTTTGGCTTCCAAGGAAAGAGGAACCAATTATTAATTTCATATTGCCTCATGATGTCGTCTTAATACGTTTTTCCTCTTTGTTGATATACATTTACGTAACAATGAAACGAATACGTGTTGGCGGTGAAAAGTATTGGATAACTTCTTGAGCTGTGCTTTGAGCTCTGACGATGGAAAGAGAGTCATGGGAGGTGATTTCGCAATTTCCCCAGTGTTTGGTATGCAAATTCTTCATGCATTGAGTAAGATTTTGTCTGACTTGGGCGGGCCAGATGTTCCTCACAAACGGTTGAGAGGGTATAAGAGTCTCACGATAGCCTCACAACAAAAGGATGGATTTGAGAGTGGCGAGAAAGTCAAAAGAAATACTTTTACAAACCGTACAAAATTGTCATTGCAATATCTGGACCTCGGCGTATTGTTGACGATACAAATCTTAAGATATAAAAACCTCAAACACATAGCCTAGCATCTCAAACATTTCAACACTTCAGAACTTCACTAGAACACAATGTCTCGCTTTTCACTGCAAAACAACTCGAACAGGAGGAAAGCATATGAAGCTGGACAATCTCCATTAGAGTTACTTCCACCTGAGCTTCTTCAAAAGATTCTTGAAAATCTAGAATTGAAATATGATCACAGAGAAGGAGGTTCAAGCAATGGTAAGACTTCACTCAATATCTGCAATGAAATTCAATAGCCATGAATGATATTGATACTTCTTAGATTCCGGTGACATCAATTGCCCCCACCTGGAGAGACCTACTTTATTTTCATGTCTTCGTGTATCAAGAGCCATTTATATGAATGCACTTTTCATTACATATCGAAGTGTTACAGTTACTCACATGTCCGCCTTTAATCATATACTTGCTCAACTTACCGAAAATCCCATCTTGGGTAGAACCATTCGACGTCTTGATTTCTCCGAACTGAAAACCACACGCCCAATGAGAGAGTTTTCCAATTACCTTTACGGAATAGTTTCACTCGCTCCACACCTTCGAGAATTCCGAATCCCGAAGGATACCAACCTAAATGGTTTCTTAAGCGAGTCCTTACTTCGACTACTTTTTGTTGGGTTACCTCATTTGAAGACGTTAGACTTAGGTAATTGCACATCATCAACACTGGATTGCATACCTAGCATACTTGATAGTATGCCAGCATCTGTTTCACTTCCGATCAAATCATTATCCTTGGAGAATTGTAAAGCTCTACCAGCTTCGTCCTTCGACTCCTTATTTTCACGGCTTGGCCCGATACAGTCGATGACGTTATCACACACTCATATCACGACAGAAGCTTTACAACTTCTTCCTCCTACGGCCAAAATATCACATTTAGCTCTCAATCATTGCCCCTTCCTTGAAGATGTCTCTCTGATTGACTTTATCACCTCACATCCGTCTGTGAAGAATACATTGGAATACCTCGATGCCTCTGCTGACCTTACGGTTGGTGAAGAGATAAGCGAAAAGGACACAGAACGTCTACTGAAATATGCACCAAGGTCAATCAAAACTCTCAAGCTAAGAGGATGGAAGATGGACTCAGCATGTGTCGCCCAGTTAAAGGCGTTGAATCAAACAGTAGAAGAGTTGAGCATAGGCACCGGCCTCCGCATGCGCGATCTCGAATCTATATTTCTAGATACTGAAGACAGCGAATCACGAAACGAAGAAGAGGGAACCGATTCATCAGAGATCGACTCAAAGTATACAACTGTTCTCGAGCCAATGGAACGTGCGATAGCCATCACCAAGTTACGACGAAGGATTTTCAGCACCCCCTTACCTACTTTCACCGGTGTCAAACACAGCTTAAGATATCTTGATATTAGAGGAATGACATTGGCAGAACAGAGCAAGATTCGATCTTCAATCTTGCTAGGCAAGCAATCAGTGGCATTGAATGTGATTGCTGTGAACGATAGATTAATGGATAGAGAAGGGACGTTGAAGGAAATTTGCGCGAGTGTGGGATGGACGGTAAAGAGAGATGGGAGAAGATGTCTCTTGGTTAGACGAAAATTTTAATGTGCTTTCAGGAAAAGTTTTGGAGAAGGTCTGGCCTTCACGATCAGCATGGATTGGTGTTTTGGGAGCATGGTGTGCGGCGTTTAAAAAGCTCAAAAGTATTTGACCTTGGATTGATACTATAGTAATATATGTCTTAATTTTTAATCAATATCAATCGCTTTCGATTTTCAATATCGTTTTATTCGATGCCATATATCAAGGCTGAGCAAAACTTGTCCTTCCTTTGATTCTTCCTTTTCGATACAAGTTCGCTAAGATCGTCAACTCAGCCGCCATTCTTTCTTTTCTTAAGTGAAATCTTAAATCCGCCGGCATTACATCTTCCATCTCGGCATAAACCACACAGGACCTAAATTTGGAGATACAAGGCTTAGTGCGCAGTGTATCTGTACGAATTCCGATTTTGTCTGCCATCACGTGAATATCTCGTGCTTCCTCTTCTTCCTTCTTTTCACGCAAAATGATGTTTACGTCAAAACCCCTTCATTTTCATGTCTAGCCGAAATTATTGTACCACAGTTCGCTGACCAAAAAGCAAATTGTAGAATATTAATCTCCTGCTACTCTTCTCAATTGGCAATTGTAGTCTAACAATTCGACCTCAAATTTCCATTGATGCCTTGCACTCCCCAATATACATACCTCCCAAAGTGACATCTGCGTATCAAAACAAATTAAGCACTCGGGTGAGTCGGGTCATCGGCAAGAGGCAGTGCTAGCTGCGGCTGCCCCCGAGTGTTCTAATAACCATAAATCCAAGACCCAATATTATTTTCGCCCCCATATCTTATCTCTCAATTTTCTCATGTATCGTATCCATCATACCACATATGCCATCCAGAAAAAGGATTGAAACGCGCCTTACGGGTTTCTTAGTCCGTTTCATATTCATGCCAATTGCACACGTAGCAAATATCGAAATACAACTGTGGTTGTGGTGATGGTTCTCGTATCTTGACGGTTTTGTACAGCGTGTTTAGTGTTAGGTAACCTTAAAAAGTGTTGCTATTTTTAGAAATACACGAGCTGATGGGGTGGTAGTGGGGAGGATGACCAGGAACTGATACGAGATGAAGTGCAATGTTAAACTAATTGAAGGATGGGATTTGGAAATTCGCACGATCGATAAAAGCTACGCGAGAAATGAATGATGTGTGATGTATGTAGGTAAGCTCAGGGATATATATAGAGGATAGCTCGCGAAGAACGAGGTGTAATGAGGTAAATATTGTTCGCATCATGCACCCGAGATATCCATCACTCTTGCCGCAGGACCATATCAAATGAAGTTGCACCAGTAGTCGAATTCGAAAATCGCAAATATGAGTATCAGCAACGAGGAAGAAATCCTAGTCACCAGTCGCAATAAAGCGCCGTCGATCATCAATGTCACTTCGCACAACGAGCGAGTATTCGCTCAATTACCCGATATGATACAGGAAGCTCTCGTTTCTACAGAATGTAAGTTGTATTTCTCGTTTTTCGAGATTCGAGAACTCACTGACAGCTTTTGTATAGTTTCAGCGCCCAATTTAAAAATCAGTCGTGTACACAATGCGCGAACTATAGATTCGGGCTTCATGACACAACCAATGTTCTACATCACACCCAGCAATGAATCGAGTATCAGCATGCCGGATCTGACCCTCACAGACGAGAAAATCCTTTCGAAATTCGGCACCGAACTTACCGCCAATTTTGCGGATATAAAAGCTCACGGCTCGGCTGCCTTTTTCCAGAAAGAAAATCTGAGTGACGGCGCGACATATTCTCTCTGTGCGTGTGCGACGGGTTATATATGGGTATATGTATCCCCTAGCAGTATTGCTGACGATCTTGAGGCTGCTGATGAAGGATGGGACGAATTTTCACGTCTGGAGATACAGATTGGAACGTTTGCGCTGCGGAAGAAGGCAATTACTACGATTGAGATACCATGTCATTATCGCACTGGGAAAGTAGTTGCACATATGAATGGAGATTTATCATTACTGTGTGCGACGGTACTGGCGAAGTATTTAAGATTTAGAATGATGGGATGTCAGTATGAATATGCGACTGAGAGTGCGATCAAGGAAACGAGGAAACAATTGGCGCATCTGAGGATTGTGGATCCCGGGATTTTTAGGGGGTTGGAAAGGATGTTGAGGGAGATTTGTACGAATGCTCCAATGCCGCCAACGAGTGTAGTGAGTCTTATTTCAAGGAGTATGATTAGGGGACGGTGGGAGGTTTGGGGGAATAGGAAGGTTTTGAGGAGGAAATATTCACTGCCTGGACGGGTCATGCAAAGTTTTAAGAAGGGGGATGCTGATCCTATTGATTTGTTGAGTGAGAGCTATACGTTTCTGAGATTGGAGAAGAAGAAAAGTAGCATTGGTGGTGTAAGGGAATCATAGTCGCCTCTGCATGCGAAAAGCGGGTTTGCGGGTTTTAAGAGACGGGAACCATTATGCGATCAATGTTTGGTGCTGCATGGGATGTTAGTACCGGATACATGGGCGTATTATCAATGAATAACGAATAATGAATACTGAATATCATAAACTTACCCCATCCAGAATTGTACGACTGAAATTGAATGACGTTTGTAGTCCCACTCTTTAAAGCCGTAGTTAAGACGCTTGTGCCCGGTGTATTGCCATCCGTTGTCGGTAAGAATGCAAGAATATTGCTGACTCCATTGACCACAACATTTGCATAGCGTTGTACCGAATCACCATTTGTATGATGAATTCGAATCGAGGTGGTAGTTGCTACAGAACTGCTCACTCCATTCATAGTCAATGTGCCTCCAGGACTGGGCCCGCCAATATATCCTACTTGGATGCCACCTGAACATCCGGAACATGTGAGGGTAATAGCACCATTAGCGAGAGTATTTGTGCTAGCCTCAGCCTCTGGAGTTGTCTCGGTAGGACCGGCAGTCCATGTTCCTGCTGTTGGGTTGATGCTCCAATTCACTTGGTTACTCTGTTTACGTTAGCTTCTGGTATTTTTGTCGGTATCTTATTACTTGCCATAGTTGCCTTCGTTCCGGATATTGTTATAGGTAACCAGACGTAAGTAGAAGTCATGAGGTTGGATGAATGCCATCGATCTCCCATATACCTGTATTTAGTTAGCACAGAGTTTTCTAGTAGTGAAGGTCCAATTTTCAAGGTCAAGGACGAATGAAAGATATAATTACATGACAACCCCCCTTAATACTGACCACAGCAGCGGTCTGACTGCTATAGGTGTTTGATCCAACTGTTGCAAAATTGGCCCAGGCAGACCAAGGCCCCGACAGATTTGTCGCTGTGGCGTAAACATTGTCGTTCGGATCTAATAGGCACGAGCTCAGTTATTAATCATTTGGAGAGATTGTATCTTATACCGAGATTGGAACAATCATCCTCAGGGAGACGGCGAAAAGAATAAAGGCATGCATACTCCAACCAGATAAGTGACTAGCAAACATAAAATAAGTGCTGCCACTTTTATATATGGCAGGAGCTTCGTAATCGGCAAATGTATAAACAGCCGAGACGACTGATGTATAATCGGCTGAGAGTTTGTCAATTCGTAGACCGTTTACACGCTACAAGATAGTCAGAGCTGGTTTTGAATGAGAGATAACAGGTGGGAAAGGATGTTACATCTTCAGTCAATAGGTACCCTGTCCCATCGGTATCTAGCTTCTCGTTAACCATAGAAAGGGCGGGAAATATCATATCCACATACCTTTAAAAACATTGAGATCTCTGCTTTGGTAGCCCAATGGTTGACTTGCTCCTCTATTGCATTCCTCATCAGTCTCGTTTTCAATCGAGTGCACCTTGAAGGTCATCATTTCCGCCACTGTCAAATTCGTCAACTCACAAGTATGTATAAGTTCCACAAACACTGCTGCTAGTTGCAACGCCAGCCCTTGCTTCGCCATAACTCGAATCATCGATATGCATCCACATAACATATTTAGCAGTTGCAGCATTGTACATTATGTGTGGACGCTCGACAACTCGATTGGGCCCCAGATCTCCAGATGATTGCACTGTAAGAAGATAGGAATTGAATTTCCAATTCACAAGATCTGTGCTTGAGTAGCAGTTGATTGATTGGAAAGCACTTCCATTTAACTTGTTCTCTCCGGCCCAATAGCTACGATCGATACTAATTAGTTTGGAATAAATACTGGAAGCCTAGTTACTGACTAGGTCGATCCGACTTGGATTATTCCACCTCCATGAGCTTGAATATGCTGGTTAAGACCAGAAGCTGTCCATGTTGCACCTGATATCTGAAAATCTGTAAGCCATTGCGTTGAATACACCTAGGAGCGATACTTACGATCTGGAGAGAAGCCGATACGTAACTGCTCCAAAAGGGAAGTAGCAAAAATACACCGAACAACATTTTAACTATTTGCGCCCAAAGTATGTAGTGTATTGGTGACTAGATACTGACATTCGGACACGGATTAAGACCACCTCATATATATACACCATTTTATGCTCCAAAGTCGGAGAAGGTGCCGAATCCAAGGTTGGATCTTGAGACTATCTGCTAGTTCCCCAATTGAATAAAGCTTGTACTCCGGCATGATCACCGGCAGCAGTATCTGCATTGAGATCCCTTTTTCTCTAGTGATCCAAAAACTCTTTTGGCGCCCCAATGATATGAATTGTGATTATCTGATTGCCGCTGTGGGTATGCCACCACATTCATTGCCCAAAAGCAACCCCACCAGGTAGGTATGTACAAACATGGGTGAATCCACTTGTACGAGATGCAAACCCCAATTTCGAAGTAACATTCTTTTATCCGCAAAGTTGGAAGATCTCATGATGAGAAAATAGGCACTTCGATATTACATCAATTAATACGATCACCGGGAGCTCGGGGAGTGACAGAGGCAGCTGTGCAGAGAGCTGTCGAAACAATTCTCAAAACAATACTCCGTTACTCCGCACTTGATCTAAAGAAACACAAAATGAACACTATCTCAATGCTTGATGGATCTTATTGCGCTGCTGCATCTAACTCGGACTCGAAGTAATCTTTCCTCTCAAATTCCGAATGTGTAATAAGATTCAAGGGCACATTGGTACCTGATCAAATATAAAGCCACGGTGATACAGAATCATCATTCCCCGCATCCCAGATTGGGTTGTGACTATTATCCCGCTGCATCGTTGATCTTATCATTGTCGGTATTTCAATTTCCCGGAAAACGCGTCGAAGGTCAAAGGTTAATTATAATCCACTTGAGATTGAGTTATAGCAACATGGAAAATTAGAATCGAGACGACTAGAGTGATTTTGAAGCTTTTCAAAAATGATGGACCGGACAAATGTTGACACGAGAGAAAAGAGATCTTGGAAGGTTCGGATGGTATAGAGCCCATATCACGTGATAATATCGCAAACGTCCTTCAAAGAGAATATTCTATAAATAAAGTTAGCAAGCAGGACCAGTGTCGAAACCAATGCGAGCAAATGTTGAAACGAAACGAAACTGAGGAAAGGCTGAGATTGTGTGGAAGATTGAGATATCACGTGCTAGCGCGCATCAATCTACATTAAGCTTAGCGCATCCCTCAAAATTGCACGACTAAAACCAATGTTGCGATTCAAAACATCAAAACACCAAAACACTCCCCAAAAAAAACATCAAAACACCATTTATTCCTTTTTGGGGTCTTGATTCCATCTATTCATTTTTCATGGGATTGAAATTTCTTCCTTGCTAAATCTTTAGCATCTTATAGTTATTCCACACGTTCCATGATCGACTTGATACCATTCGTGGCTGTGCTACGATATCACACGTTGATAGATGGATCGTCGACGATCGTATTGAATTGAAATGATGGCAAGACAGCAACTCTTCATCTTGATAGCCTGACAAGGCGCACTCATGTTGGAGCTTCGTCATCAATTTCATTCAATTTCATAAATCTCACGTCTTTGGTCTCAATCTCATCAATCCAGTTCACCAAGGGTCCATATCATCTTGGCCCAATGTTCATAGGGGCTACTCATGTCCAATTAGACACAGTCACGGTAGTTTGTTAGCGCGAACTATCGCGGCTTGCTAAATCACTACCGGGGTATAGGCACAGTACTATTTTTACTCGAACTTCCTCATATTGTGCGAAGATCTCTTGGCAATCTAACTGCTGTTCACAATTTGGATCTTTGGCTTCTAGATTCGTGAAATTGGATCGAGGTCTTCATAGGTCATGCGATAGGGGGCTTCCCTGACCGGATGTCCCTGCCAAGTCGCCGTCGACGCGTTCACCGTTCTTCATCACGATCTTTCACAGGATACTTATACTTCCTTTGCAAAGTTAAACAGATGTAGAACAGTTGGCAGTGGCATTGGCGTGGTCGGGACATTACGGAGCATTGAATTCCTGATAATACTGCATATGCAGCTGGTCCAGGGTGCTTGCCTAGCCTGAAGCCACCCGCGACGTCCCTTGAAGCCAAGGCTCAGTAGTTAAACTTTACTTGGCTCCGACGATTTTAAAGTACCGGGAGTTTAAAGATCGTCTTCTTGGTGGAAGAGTGTCGCCCTGAGATACTCATTGAGGCTCTTCATCTGAAGTTCTTACCTCTTGGACATCCACTTTTTTCAGTTTCGGGCATATTTTCGTTGTTTCCTTTGTGTTACGGCAAACTTGGCCATCGAATGCTCCATTTGGTGTCGTTTTAGTTATATCTTCGACAGCTTGGATTCTTGGTAGTAATTACGAGACAAAGGGGGCTCCACTACATGGAGATTGTCGCCTCCTGTATCCGTGAACTCGAGATCCTTCAAAATGAGGTCGTCATCCCACATCTGTCAAATGCTTCCCCAGAGTCGATTTCCCTAACTTCATTAGAACACTAATATAATACGAGCTACTTTTCTCGACAACGGAAGTAGTTGCATGTATCTGTGTTTACCTAACGGTCTCTCATTCTCTCCTCGTTTGCTCATCCCAACTCTCTTCTTCTTATCCTCTGTAAAAACCACAAATTTAGACTGCTGGCTCAGTTCAATATAGCCAAAATGGTTTCTCCCAACGCTCCAAATGAAAATATTCTTGGAAGAGATTTTGAAGAAGTTGATGTCGAAATTGGCCTTAAGGAACTTCCAGAGAAGGAAGAACCTATCCAGAACCTCACCTTCTCTGAGCGCTTAAGACATTTCACCTATGGTACTTGAAGCTCCAGGACTCCCTACGTATTCTGCATTACTAACTTTTGAAAGCCTGGTTCGCATCTACAATGTCTACAGGAGGAGTAGCTTTTACTCTCTCTGTCCTTCCTATCGAATCGGACGCAATTCTCACACTAGGAAAAGCTATGTTTGTTATCAACATCATGGTCTTTTTAGCCATCATCGGGCTCCTGATCGCTCGCTTTACAATGTACCCCGGCACATTCACACATTCACTTACGAACCCACACGAAGGATTCTTTTTCGCTACAGGGTTTCTCACCATGGCAACAATGATGACGAACTCTACTGCATATGGTATCCCAAATACTGGCCCTTGGCTCATCGGTGCCCTTCGATTAGCTTTCTGGTTATATACAATTGGAGCCACACTCCTCGCCATCGTTTACTACCATATCCTTTTCACTGTCAAGAAGCTTGTCATCACCAATGTTCTACCAGGTTGGGTTCTTCCAATCTTCCCTGCCATGTTGGTCGGTACCCTCGCATCCGCCATCGCCAAAACGCAGCCTGTAGAATCTGCAGCACAAATGTTGGTGGCCGGTCTCACATTCCAAGGTCTTGGAATGATGTTGGCTATTATGATGTATGGAATTTACTTCGGTAGACTTCTCACCTCTGGACTTCCTGCCGATGCATCTCGACCTGCTATGTTTATTGCAGTTGGACCTCCATCCTTCACGGCCCTTGCACTCATTGGTATGGCCCAAGATGCGACAACCACAAAGGTCTTCACCGAATACTACAACCTTCCAGGGATTTCCAATCCAGCTGCAATTCCTGATATGTTACAACTCGGTGCACTTTTGTCAGCAATCTTCCTCTGGGCTCTCGCATTTTGGTTCTTCGCCATCGCGTCCTTCGCAGCAATTGAAGCATTTTCAAGAAACGACTTCCATCTGAACTGGTATGCCTATGTATTTCCAAACGTGGGATTTACCATTGCAACTATAAAGATCGGAGAAAGATTAAACAGCCCTCCAATACTGGGTGTCGGAACTGCAATGGGAATTGTGCTATTCCTGTTATGGATGCTGATTGTGTTTGCTCACATCAAAGCTTTCTCAAAGAAGATGATTATGTGGCCTGGGAAGGATGAGGATGCCCACTGAGTAAATTCAATTCAATTTTTAGACACAATGATGGGTTAGCGATAAGGTGTACATTCATTCTTTTAAAAAGCCGACCGCGGGACATTAATGGACCCAAGGTTTAATGAGCATAGCATAGCGGGCATGGGATCAATAATTAGATATACAGGTCATAGACCAAAAGTAGATTGGATCGGTATAAAACTGGACGGGTGGAGTTTACATGTAAATATTACAGATTTCTTTCATTCAATACACACATACCACAGGGTCCCTCACCACAAAATGATTCGGGAATTTCAATCATGTGACAAATAAGTAATTTATAGATTTTGGCTGGATCACTGGTAAGTGGGTATGATTCTGAAACGAGGTTGCCCTCCTCCGGTTTAGAGGGGACGTGGGGAGAGGGGAGGGGGCCGTGGAAGCTCTTCTGGTTTCACCACAAGAAAGAACAAACAGCACTAAGCTGAAGCACATTTCGTGAATGCAGGTTTGAGAATAATCTCCAAGATTCCCAAATATAGATTTAGCTATGATTTGAAGAAACCAAGCTCTTCAGTCGTCGCTCGCTGGTCAAGTGATAGAAATCGAGAATGCGATGCTAACATGTACTCCAGACGTGGGCAATACTAACACACAACGTGTTCCCGAGCACGGCCCGGCTTTCTGTTAGCACTTTTGTATGGTTATCTTCATCCGTCTTCTATATATGAGGGGTTCGATTACTTTATTCGAGGATTAATTGCGGGAAGAGCCTAAAATACGCAATCGGTTTATCACTTGTCCGGATAAATACAAGGGATCCGAACTTATCCCCGAACACCCCGCACTTTGATCTATGAAGAAAAGTTGATGATCTACATCATTCGGTCCTCAACGTCAACTTTATTTGCACGGTTGGAGTATTCATATGTGACGATTTTGATACCCTGCTGATAGGCGACCCAAGAAAATCCGGGGTAATTGAAGCCGACATCTTCGAGATGCTCGCTGCCATGCTTCAATACTGGGGTCAAAGTAAGAATGCAGGTACATCGTGAGTTGGTGGTGGCGGATGAGAGGGTAACATAAGTATGTGCTTAGAACCCTGATTTCCGGCACTGAAAATTCAGATGAAATCGAGTTGGGAATGCCTTCAATAGATCTCGCTATTTGTTGAAGATGACATTGTTGAAGGAAATCTCCTGGTTGTTACTACCTGCCTTTGCGCAAGCTGCCACAGTAAACTATACTATACCATCGACAGCAGCAGCCAGTGCAGCAAAACTTGCTCCTGCTCCTGTTGGTTTATCGTATGTTTTTGTCTCATGATTTCTCAAATCCTACTATTGATGCCATAACCATTTTACTAACCTTTTATCAGATTCGAGTTCTTTGCATACCCATCATACTTTACAAATGTTACAGCTACAAACCAATGTTTAGCAAATTTCAAAGATTTGAGTGGAACATGGCCTCCTATTCGAATTGGTGGTACTACACAGTAGGTTATTTTCATGAGTCCAAGAGCCTCCGGAACTAATGCAAATGAACAGAGATCGTGCAACATATGATGCAAATACAAACGCATATGTCGTTTACAGTGTTAGTTCACCTGTCGATGCACCAGCTTCATTGACATTTGGTCCTAATTTTATGAAACTTGCGTCTACATATCCAGGGACTGTGGTGTTAGGTAAACTTCATTTTTCTTCTTAACTCTAAGTTTTCGATGAATGTTCATCTGACTTGAGATTATCAAAGGACTGAATCGTGGTCATAATGATATTACAAATACAATTGCAGCAGCAAAATCCGCAAAGGGTAGTATGGGAAATCTCAAAGCCATTGAACTTGGTAATGAACCAGAATGTATGTCTATGTCTACCATTCTATCCAATTTTCAATCAACATTGTATTGAACACAAATCTGATTTACCTCATCCAGATTATACTAGTGATGGTCAACCCATTGCATCTCCTTCATGGACCCCTGCTATTGATGCCGCCTCTCAAAATAATTGGGACATCCAAGTAGGAACAGCGCTTCAATCCACAAATATAATTCAAGCTGGAAACTCTAATGCTTCACCACCTACATGGGGAGCCGCTGAACTCATCGCTAGTGGGAATGTCACTGTGAGGACTTATGTGAAGGATTATGCACATCATAATTATCCAGGTGGTACTCTTCAGAATTTGATGAGCCACAGTGGGATTGTTAGTAATTTGGCACCAATTGGAATAGATGGTAAGGCAGCGAATGCCGTTGGAAAGGAATATGTTTTGGGAGAGACAAATTCCGGTGTGTGTTCCTTTTCGTATGACTCAATGAGATTGCGGGTAAACGTTTAAGCAAAGACTAACAATATTTACGCCAAGTCTCCGGCGGAGGTGCTGCAACTGTATCTCCAACTTTTGGAGCTGCCCTTTGGACCCTCGATTACACACTTCAGGCTACAGTTTTGAATATCACTACTGTATATTATCATCACGGAACCATTGGCGCTTGTTACTACTGTTGGTGGGGCCGATATGACGCTGGCGCCCCTTACTATGGAGCTTGGCTTGCAGCTGCAGCTTTTGCCGGATCTTCTTATATCCAACAGATCGATTCCGGTAGTTCTAATTACGGTATTTACGTACTTTACAACAGTGATAAGGCCCCAATCAAAACAGTATTGATCAACAGTGACTATTACGCCGGAACTGGGACAAGAGGAAGTGAGACATTTGTTCTTGGAGGACTGACGGTAGGAAAAGGAACAAAGGCGAAGAGATTGACTGCAGGAAGTGCTTTGAGTAGGGTGGACCAAGGATCCAATCCATCGTTTGGAGGTCAGATTGTCGCTAATGGTACTTGTGTTATTGGCGGAACCGAGACTTTTGAGACGGGGACGGTGGGAAGTACTGGTGCGGCGAGCTTTACGGTTGCGGCGAGCGAGGCTTTGTTGGTTTATTTTTAAGGGGAGGTCTGGGGTGATAGTTGAGGGCTGAGCAAGATAAATGATAAAAGTCGAATAGAAATAAATCAAATCATGTTCGCAATAATATGTTTACATCTGCAATTTTCGTAGGAGTATATGGTGCTCCTGTAGCCGTATAATACCTACATCTCCACAACCTTTAGAACCTTTAGAACCTTCGCTACCCCTCTATGATCTCTCTTTCTTCTCACTCCAGCCCACATATGTGATACATGTAGCCACGCAACTCACGTCTTCCATCAAGAAATGACTAATCATCACGGCCTGATAGTTTATCGCTCCCATTAATCTCTTTCTCCCCTCGGGAATTCATGCCTCTCGCGAGGCATGGTTAGAGGTCTCCGGTTCGATCCCGGATTAGGCCCACAGTCAATAAAGTTTTGTCTTTTTTGAACCCTTTTTCAATACTATAAGATGCGGGAGAACAATGATAAAATATTGTCTTGTCTTGTCTTGTCTTGGAAAATTGATAAGAATGTGGTTGTGATTGAGAATGATATGAATACGAGACATGAATGTGGCTTGGATATGATGCCAATTTTTTGCATTGGGCTAAATTGGGTTGCATATCGCAAGGGTAGAGATAGTGTTTCATTTCCCTATTGATCGCATCAAAAACATAGGTGATTGCGAGTCCACGATCCTTGTGGGGGGAACTTGATATCTTGACTTGAGTCTTGACCTCTCATTAATTTAGTTTTTGAAGCCAGTCAAGTCAGTCAGTCAGTCTACTACTCCTGCGCAGAGGTTCTGTCTGTCTACCGATTTCATAGACAACTACATGAATCATACGACTTCTGTGGCATTTGCAAACGTGAAGAAAGTTACATCATTCAACTCATGTCCCGAAAATTCACTAATTCATTTCTTAGTTTCTGTGGTCCGTTCGTGCAGCAGTTCTCCACTTAGTGAAAAAGTTTTCGACGGCACGGTGGAACCCATTCATCAAGGTTGTGTGACTTGTGTCCATCCTTCAAACCCACCACTTGGTCCACATCCAAATTGAAAGATACATCAGTAAAGCCAAGGGTTTCACAAAGATCATGATTTCTTGAGGAAATCTGCGAGAATTTAATTTTACATGTGAAGAAACAAAATGTCAATGTTCTGGCCCCATCATCGCAAAAATTCTCCCCTCCCCGGAACTTTGCTTCAACTTCAATCTATCACAACTTCTTCAATACTCAACTCATCGCAACTAATTCTATATCAAAATAAAGCTCTTGAATAGGGCAAAAGGAACTGATCACTGGCGGTTTCGAACCGCCGACCTTGGCGTGCCAAACCTATCTGAATGAACAGAACAGATATTAGCACCACGCTCTAACCAACTGAGCTAAGCGACCTGATTGGTTACTGATTGTTGAAGAACCTGAAATAAATGTATCTTATATTCCTAACAAAAAGCCAAGCAGAAAAGGAGAGTGTCTTGAGAGTGTGAAAAGTTTTACTGGGTGGGGGTCAGTGGGGGTGGTAACAATTCAGAGTTTCTTCGGGACCCTCGGGACCTTTACACTTGACTCGCATAACAGCCAGGGGTAAGGACATCAACACTTCATCTTTTTAAGTTTTCCGCTCGATGGGCTTCATATCGATAAATATATTTAAGTATGAATGTCAATGTGGAAGAAAATGCCTCATTGTTGAATCTTTCGTCTGCTTGTTTCAGATCTCAAGGTTCTATTTAGAATAGATTTGTGAATTAAAGTCTGGAAGGAATATTCAGGGTAATCAGGGTGTCGCCAGGGGTTTTGGGCCATGTAGAGTGTATATCTTCAACCGCAGTGATCGTTTGATCGACAGGAACACTTCGTATATACGAGCACAAGAAGTGTATAGATTCTATGATATACATCCAAGAAGACTTGTCTTGTCCTTCCGCTTCATCATATTGTATCTTGACAATGAAGTGTAGACCATTTGACTTTGTAGTTCATTTCCGCATGCACATGTACCTTATTTGGATTAAGTTTTTGAATAGCTGTGGGCATGAGTCGCTCTTCAATTAAACATTCACGGCTCCAACTTCACTACCGGTAATTGGAATTTTAAATCTTTTCCAAGGGTCGAGTGGCCCTGATATTGATATTGGTATTGATATTGATATTGATATTGATATTGATATTGATATTGATATTGATATTGATATTGATATTGATATTGATATTGATATTGATATTGATATTGATATTGATATTGATATTGATATTGATATTGATATTGATATTGATATTGATATTGATATTGATATTGATATTGATATTGATATTGATATTGATATTGATATTGATATTGATATTGATATTGATATTGATAATATTGAGTGATGGTATGCTGCAAGAATTATTGGAATATAGAGATCGTAAATTCTAGGAACAGTTTCTATAGTCCAAATTGATAAGCCTCGATGATGCCAGCATCATAGGCCTCGCATTCATGACGAAAACGGTGCTTTGTCGCAGTGATGATAACTGTAGCTCGTCTTGCGGCATTTCAATACAATTGTCAGCTAGAGCCTTGTAGACCATACTTCTCATATCTCTCGATACGGTAGCTAGTGCAGGTGTAGTGGCGGCGTATCTGGCTTCTAAGGTGTAGGGTGTGTGTCTTTGCTAGGAAAATAGACTTGCTCATTCAACGATCATGTAATTCAGAGAGTGTGAATGTCGTGTCTTGAACCATAAACATGTTGAGTGTCAGTCAAAAGCTGTATTTAAAGTGGGATTTCGAACAGAGAATACCTCTTAGGCAAATTATATAGTGGTCTGTTTATAGTAACTGTCGTGCCCATCCAGAAACTTTAGCTTGAACAATCGAAAAGCTGTACAAAAATTCAGCGCGGTTAAGGATCCGTCCCTTTGCAATATGCTAGATGATATTCTGAGAGGGTTTTGAGGCCATATCTAGTAAGCATATGATAGTAATGAACTCCTTTGATTATGATTCGACAAAGAATAGGTTGGGAAAACTCATCATCAAGTCTCTAATCACTCCATGTCGTGTTGGACAGCTTCATCATTCAAAGGAAGACAACATTAAAGTCAGTTGAAATCTCTGGAAACTAGAATAAGAGTCTCTTCTTCGTGGCTAGAAAGATGTGCTTTCGAGCCAGCTACTGGCCATCGTGATCTGAATCTGCTGCTCGTGAAACCAATATGTACTCTCATTGATGGGGATCTTCAGAAGCTTTGAAAATAGGTTACATGCTCTTTTCCGACACTCAAAGAGATGATATATCTTAGTATCATCATAAAGGTTGGTGAACTGCTCCCATTCTATTTCGATTCTTGCTCTCTATGAAGTCAGAAACATAATAAACCACATACCAAGGGTTACCCAAACGGTCTTACGTGATACCACTCCCCTACTCACTTCGATATTGATGGCACATTCCAACCGCTCTGATTCATCTGCAGAATGAGATAACCCCCCTAGGTGTCCTTGAGGTCCATGTACCGAAATTGTTTGTTCCGTTTATCTATGCTTGATGGAACTCAAGTCTTCTTCAGTCTCGCTGACAATATCCTGCCGTGGTAGCCCATTCCTCTATGAGCTCTGGTATCGTAAGATCACTTCTCTTGAAATTGCAATTTCTCTAATTTGATGATTTCTGGGACAGTCGGTCCTTATCTTCGTGTAGGCGCATGCTAGATCATCTGTAATTTGCTCATACAATGCCCTCTCTTGACCGACCATTGTTGAAGCGGGTGATTATAGAAAACTCGCATTTCATGAAGCATCTGTATAAAATGGGGATTGAAGTAGCTTTGATTTTGTGCCAAGTATGCTTACAGTGTTTTGTGAGATGCCTTCTCGCAAGCTGTCATCTGTCGTACTTCTTTATACACCTACGTTAAGAGCCCAATGATCTTGTTGCCTTTGTGTTGGTGCTATACTGATCATTCCTCAATCTCGCTCATAGTCTTTCTCCCATCAAGTCTCCTTCACAGTTCTTTCCCCTCTATTCAAAAATTGGTAAATGAAACCTACAACATCTCTCCGTGGACTTGACTATCAAAAAGGCATTAGAAGTGTTCAAGATCCTTTGATCTTCATAGCGATCTTTAGTGGAAACACTGAATAACAGAAACAATACTAGACAGATATAATAGCTCGATTACCCTCATTGCGAAGATTGAATTCAACAATCAACATCAGAATGTCAGCCCACCCACCGTCGAATTCGAGCATATAGTTCCTTACTCCAAACGACCTGAGCCATTCGCCTCTGGTAATCCGCTTTGCTGGTCATTCAAGTGATATCATTGATATCAAAAGAGACAGGTTCTCCTGTTATTTGTCTGGCCCGAGAAGTGGGTGAACCATGGTATCATGAAAAAATCAGATTAAGGGCCAAGGCTACACAGTTTTATATTAACCAAAGCAGTTGCTCTGAACGCAGTGAGCAAGTAAGCAATGGAAGACGTGACAGTTGTGCTCATCGTGCTGAAATTTATCTGGGACATATTACGAAGAATGCAAGGCATTTGTCGAGTCCATGGATGGCATTGTAAGAGAGCCATCAACATAAGCAACTATCACAGTTCGTTCTATTGAGTACATTGTTTGACGAATTTTGTGTTTATTAGAAATTGACATTAACAAAGGAAATGCTCATACAGATTTGCAAAATTACGGACTCGGTGACTCGTTTCGCACGACTCTTATGCCTACACCCCATATGCACATTGAGAGCGACGAATAATTGTTCGGCCCAATATTGCATGAGTTTGGATGGTGTTTTGCTCTCCGACTTGACCTGTATGGACCACAGTGAAGATTTCCTAGGCATATGGATTTGTCAATGGGGCAATAAACCAAGCTTGAAAGACCCAATGAGACTTAGGAGATGTGGGACACTCAAGCTTTCCTTCTGAATGTCCGGAATTCGAATTGTACCAAAAGACGCAGAAGGTTTTGATATTGAATGTATTGTTTATGCTCATTAGTGAGCCGGAATCAGACATCGTCAATGTGATTCGACAAGCGTTGAAAAAATGCCTGGGAAATGGCCCATCAAATACTTAGTGATGTTATCACCTAAAACGTAGATGATCGAAGAATGTCCTGCTAGTACAAATCAAGCGATTTGGTAAAATTGAAAGGGGCCAGGCACTGCAAACATCAGTGCTGATGCCGGTGAATTGAAGTGAAGGGAAATAAATCATGGTTTCCTCAAAGTTCTCATTGGGTTATGAACGGGCTTACTCTGAATAAAAATCTAGACCAAAGTCTGGGGGCAAATCTCTCGAAAAGGAGATTTCTTTGTCCCTCAACTACTCATGCCACTATTTATAATGGCTGAATGGGCGTCTTCCAACATGTATTGCTTGGTAAGAATGGCTTCTTATTGTCCTAAGAATGACGAAATCAGGAGTCTCGAAGCTTAGACGCCGCGAAGCATGTGGTGTTCATAGATCATCATATTGTATCGTTCGCAGCCGATTGTAAGCTATAGAGACGTATTTTTTGATCAGAATGTCATATGCAAAGTATACATTTTGTATGTAGAGTATATTGAACATCTTCGTGCCAGCATTGTACATTTATTAGTCAAGTGTAAGTAGATAGGATGGATAAGTGCAAGGAGCCCAAAAGTGCTCATCTTATTACGATTATTCCTACTCATTAAAACATAACTCAGGACCAACTGCTATGTTTCTCCTACCAAGAAATCTTGGCCAAATGAAGACTACAACAAACACTTCCCCTTGATATGGAGGGAAGACCCGAACTTGATAATTTGACATTCAACTTTGTAAATCTTCCGAATCCTCTTTATCAACATCCAAACTTTTCTTTTTACATGTAAGATAGTCTCAGAAAATCGGATCATCCTTCCACAATCACATAAATGAGAATGCAACACTCAATATTGGAAAAGTAGAGAGAGAAAGTCATGAGAAAGTTTGTCAGATCTAATATATACCAAATAATGGCGTACCGAAATGTACAAGAGTCGCTCAAAACCCTTCTATGGTGTAATGGTTAGCACGTCGGATTTTGATTCCGGAGATATTGGTTCGATTCCTATTAGAAGGTTCATCATGGACATTCTTCCTTCCATACTCAGTTTGAAGCTGGGAATAAAGGGTTTCGATTCTTTTTGCAATTTTTTTTGCGAATAGAAGAATCTTGCTGGTTTGGGAAGCGGTGAAGTGGGGTTCGTTAGAGTGGCGCGGTGGGGTGGAGAAGAAGGGGTTGCCACTGAAAACAGAAAGGGTGGGGCGAGGGGTATGGTTCCTCAAAACTCTTTGTGTTTTTTATTTGAATAGGAACTCTTCAATGAGGAACGAAGCAACTAGCACAAGGTTTGTTTTTTGAGTATTCTCAAGCTTCTTAAGACTGCGCCGTGCCACCCTCGTGTGCAATGATACAAGTGATTATATGGCATGAATTAGGACATTCCTATAAAATAGAACAATGATATGAATTGAGATAATGATTGTTAATCGGAACAACCATATCAATTGGGTTATTGGATTGATATGAATTGGAATAATGATATCACTTAGGACAATCATAGGGACAAGAGAGAGGGCAGAGCTTCACAAGGGGTTTCCCCTTTGTGCCTGTATTCTCATTTCCACTCCCAGGCACAAGGGCGGGCGCCAAGTCGCACACAACATATAAAACCATTGATATACATGTTCAATTCTTAGCCACATTGAATTCGATTGAGAATCCATAACTTGGAACCTCGCTACTCGACAGCGAGGTCCTTGTCAACATTACTGTGGTTAGAGATTTGAGTTGCCACATTGAACACTCTACCTAGGTAGGTAATGTTTGAAAGCAACACGATATTCAAAGTGAACTCAAGCTTTCGAATTGCTTAGACCACCTATCTTGACTCAGAACTTAAAAGCTTTTGATTGTCGGACTACGGTCTGGACTATTGGAACGTTGTCTTCGAGAGACTCGAGAGAGTACTGTCCAAACTCCCAATAATAGAAACTTGGCACTATCGTGGGCTCTCATATTGCCCAATCGCAAACGATATTCTTCTTAAAACATCTTAAGTTCCATACAAAATTCATACGGGTGCCATCATGCCTGTGGCATCGGTTGCGATATGGCAAACAGCAATCCTTTCATAAAACAAACGAGCAAAGTAAAAAATAGGACGAATGGGGAAAATTCGATCGCTATATCGTAGAGACCAGCCACGATATGATATCACCACACTAGAAGAAATATCTATCGAAGCTAAGAACCAAACATATGCTCCTATGATAATGATGCTTCATCGAATGTTGCTCGTCTCATCGGCCACAACCTGTTTTCCCCTAGCTCTAGCATCATCAATATCAATTCCGCAATCATC